CAATCAATCAATCAACCTACTTTCATTATTGACATCAACATGCAAATTAGTCGCACCATCCCTTTAGGAGCTGCATTGTGCACCAATCTTATTAACATGTATAAATAATTACAACACATGTATGTTTCATTAGAATCCGTAATTTTGTTTTGCTGACAACAAACAATATCATATTTTATTTCCGTATAAAATACAACAGCTATGACTGCACGTGACAATGACTAAATGTTAAAACAATGCTTTGAAAAACAAACAAAAAGCTTGATATTACTCTTTATTTCATATTTTAATTCTTAATTTAAGATTTCCTAGACTTTATTTAAAATAATTTTTTTGTGAGCTTAGTTTTTTGGTTTTTTTTCTTCTTCTTCTGTTTACAAAATTCTTTTGAACAATTGCCTGATACCAAAAACGGTTAGCACTTGAAAAAAAATTTTTTTTGCCCTCAATTTTAGACTTTACAAAGTCATTCTACTCTAGTTACCTTGAAACTCCTTTTTGTTACTAAAAATATATGATCGTTTTAAAGGATTTCCAGAAACCCTGCCTACAAACATTGCATGATATTGATATAAGACTTGATATAACAAAAAATAAAATAATTCTGTAAAACTTCAGATAGATAACGATTATGCAAACATTTGATTAATTACTCTAAATATTCAAAAGTAATTCAGTTCTGAGTAAATACCATTTTTTTACGATAATTTTCAAACTGTCTACTAATCCCTCAATTTACACTTGCCAAAAATCAACTCAACAATATTAATTGTTACAAATTTCAATTTACAACTCTGACAGTTGTTCAAATTGGTTTTTGGTATAAGTTATGGCTTATAACAAACTCTGATGATGTTTTACATGACATGTAATTCCATAAACAAATTAAAACATTAATTATTATTTTTACATGATTCGCGATGTAACTAACTGATTGTGTGTGTTTGTGATTGAAACTTTACGTTGAAACAGAGAATTGCATGATAATTCAAGAGAAAAATATATAAAAATGATACTTTAAGGATGTTCACTACACTTGTTTTTGACTCGTTGTCAGATATTTGGAATCCTCTAGTTTTATCCATGTAGTGCCAATAAAATATTTTGCCCGAAAACCTCTACTTTTCTTTTTATTACATATTGTTTAAAAAGTTATTTTTGAAAATATCATAGAATCCTAGTTTTTGAAAGGAATAATGTGCCAATGTTTAATGTACGAAAAATCTAAAGAGAATCAGTTCCCGCCAAATTTTCAATTGCTTATATCTCAAAAACAAGGCTACTGACGCCTAATTTTTCTGCATTTTAAGTTTCATTTTTATATACTATCAATTTATAATTGCCGCCTTTTAAAAAGCTTGTTATTTTGAAACAGAGTAGCAAACATCCTTAAGCTTTAATAATTGAGTCTTTCATGGAATACATGAGTTTGCCTGTGGTCCTTAAATAATATCAGCACAAAATTCCATGTTTTCAGCAGATAGCAAATTAAAATAGCAGTGCACAACTTTATATCCTATTGAAGAATTGGCGCCATTTTCATTAAATTCTGCTAAGCCATTTTCAAGGAGTAGAGGATGAGAAAACTAAGTCCATGTTTTGGTATAGGAAACCCCAGAGATCACACAGATCAAAATTTAAAATAGCAGGTGCACTTCTTCATGTCCTGCAGAAGAATATGCAAGTTTGCTTGAAATGTATCTAGCCATTTTCAAGGAGTTGCAGATTAACGAAGTATAAAATGCTTGAATTTAAAAAAAAAAGAAGAATATTTGTCCAAAGGACAACGCAGGCCTCACTCACACTATCACATTTGAATGTTCAGTGAACCATGAATAACTGGATCGAAATCCTTATTTGTCATATCATTTGATAATGAGCGTATGTACCAAGTTTCAAGTTGATGTAACCACAAAGTACCATAACCCCAAATTTTAACCTAATACAGGATTGACAGACTAACAGACAGACAGACAGACATAGAGACGGATAAACATAATGCCCCTCTACTAGAGTAGTTGGGAATAAAAATATGTTCCAACTGACCCTACTCTCTCATTTTTTTGTGCCTACCTGCCCTAGTTCATTCCAATTTTTTTATATACCAACAGCAGAACTTTTAAAGCAGGAATTTGTCTCATAAATACATATTTTTTTCAAAAATCTTTAAATGCCTAAAAGAGTAACCTCCCTTTTAATTAACGAAACATTCAGATGATTCTGTCAATTTGTTAAAATCAATAAATCAGTGCATCCAAGAATTTATCTTAAATTTTCTACTTAAAGCAGACAATTTAAAGTGTAATTGTTTCTGAAACTGTTTCTTTGTAATTTTAAGTAAGAGCTTATTATGTAACATGGTATTATTGTTTAAAGCTTATCAGAAACAAACGTCCCTTACATAATACACAAGGGAGAAAGGAAATCTGTTAATAGCTTCGTGACTTAGGGAGTATTTGTTTAAATAATATTTTTACTATTTAATTTTTATATTTTTTCATGAATTAATCATAACAATTCCATTAAACAATTCCATATCTTAATAAAATTTGAGCGACTAAAAAGCAAATAGATATCTTATAGTAAAATCAGGAGATGTAGTTAAAATTTAAGTCTATGTACATGGATGTGCTCTCATTTAACAATGCTCTGCAACCTTCTGTTGACCTTTCTGCTCCCTTTGATATTATGTACTCCCTTTACTTGGCTTTATACTCCAATAAAGAAAATGGGACCACAGTGGCTGAGGGGTAGTAGTTCATCTACAGTTTGTCAACATTTAGTTGTGAGTTTTAACACAGCTTGTGGCAGGTTTGTTTGACTAGGATTGCCTGTTTTCCTGCCACAGGTGGGAGGTTCTTTCAACAGCTTGTGGCAGGTGTGTTTGACTGGGATTGCCTGTTTTCCTGCCACAGGTGGGAGGTTCTTTCAACAGCTTGTGGCAGGTGTGTTTGACTAGGATTGCTTGTTTTCCTGCCACAGGTGGGAGGTTCTTTCAACAGCTTGTGGCAGGTGTGTTTAACTAGGATTGCCTGTTTTCCTGCCACAGGTGGGAGGTTCTTTCAAGGTACTCTGGCTTCCTCCTCCCATAAAAATTAGCCATCATGATAGAAGCCAGGAGTGCTGAAAGTTGTAATAAACACCAACAATCAATCAATTAAGAAATGGATTATAAAGTCCTTATCACGTAACTTCCCATCCATTAGTTGTCTAATTTCTATACCAGGTCACAAACCCAAGGGGAGACAATTTCTACAAGGCGGTATGATCAGGTTACTATTCGGTAATAGCAAAATTCTAATCAGTGCAATACTTCAGTCAAAGTTTTTAGTAAAAACAAGCATTCTGTAAGTATTGCCTGGCAATACATAGTCCCCTACCGGTTGAAAATTAATTGTACTGGAACAAAATGCTAACATGATCTAAAACTTGTCATGGTGTAAACTATATAACAAATATCAAGTCAATATCTTCCAGCATGGTGAAAAAAAATGTGGAAAATTTATTATTTGAGTGAATTTTATAAGTCCAAGGACCATAACTCTGCATAAAATCATCAGACCAGAACAAAATTCCAACTTGATCTGTAACTTATCATGATTAAACTATATACCAAATTTCAAATCAATATCTTCAAGCATGAAGAAAAAAAGTGTGGAAAACTGATTTGCCGGACTGACAGACAAAATACCATATAAAATATGCAGTTTTTGCCCCCCCCCCCCTCCTCTTCCTCTATTATCAAAGCCTAAAACAAGCAAATGGTAAAAAAAAGTCACAGTTTTAGTAATTTCATCTACTAATGTTGACTTTACCCTCTTTCTCAGGTAACACCTGCCTCAAATTACTTGAGATTGTTAATAGAATCACTTAAATACCATAGATGTTGGCAAATGAGCATTCTCTATGATAATTAGTGTCATTAAGTTTTATAGAGTACATAGATAGGTAGTATGTTCTATACTAATATTAGTATGTACTAGTTGTTCTACTCTTTGGTATTCTAAGATCTGTGTTTGTTACGCGTCAACAAAAAAACATAAGAATTCTTTTGCAGAGTGCTAAATGTTGACGTAAAGCAGTATAATGAGTACAACAGCAATCATTCCACTCTTAACCAATTTTCTTGCAGATGATCAATGCCAAGCAGATTATTGCTCTTTGGAAAAATTGGTGCTTTTAATATAAAACTCGCTCAAGTGGAACTGTAAAGTTAAGCTACACTGATTAAGCTGTTTTGATTTAAGCAGCTAGCAATCTTTTTAAAAAGCTTCTGTAACAGTTTCAATAAGGTTTACCATTACAAAAAACAATTGATTTAACAAAGAAGCATTTTCTACGGTTTCCAATCAAATACATTTGTTACTTTTTCTTTATCAGGGGTTCAAATTAGTGTAGGTCTGAGGCCCGTAACCTGTCTTTTCTAAGAGGGGACTTTTCATTATTGAATTACAAAAGTCAAGGACCTACCATTCTTTACACTGATGTTTTATATAGGACCATTGAAATTCCTATGGAGGACATTTCACTGAAAATTTCAAATGGTCCTAGACCTTTCATTATTTAAAGTAAATTTGAACCTCTGTTTATTCTATCTATAACTGCTATTTCCAATATTCTCTAAAAAAAAAAAAGAAATCAGAGTACTTTTCCTCCTTTTAAAAAATCATAATTAATGTAACAAGGAGCCACCTTATCCATTTCTCAGGACCAATTCATGTTCAAGACAGACAAAAATTCAGAGGCCACTTGGTCAAATTTGGTAAAATTATGATTGGACCATTTAAAATTTCTGAATTAAAATCAAATGCTAAATAAATACTTTTTTATCATTTTGGCAAAGCTTTATAAATTTTCTTATTACCAAAAGCCTAGATATAAACTGAGAATTTTATAAAATACATACAATTCTAAAAGTATAGTTTGTAAAATAAATAGTTTTCAGGTCTCGGCTTAAAGAAACCATGACAACAGATAGTTTCCAATCACAAACTACTTACAGTTACTTGAACTTGGTGTTGTCATATTTGCTCTGTCTGTTTGTCCTTCACCATCTTGATTTCTTGCAGTCATGGCAACAATATACTCCTGAGATGATTTTAACTGACGAAAGGTCCAGGATGTAACATCGGGAGGAACTTCCACACTAGTGTCATGGACATCGTTGTTGTTGATGGGTTTCAGGTATAATCGGTAACTGAGTAGATGCCCATTGGTATACACTGGTGGTTTCCATGACAACGATATAACAGAGCATGTTGGTGCAGAAATTTCTGTGATTATTGGAGCAGACGGTGCTGAAAAAAACAGATGACAAATGAAAAACCCCATCACTCCATAAATTTCTTCAATATATCAGGGTGGGGATGGGGTAACACACATGACGATTGATGGAAACATTTTTGTTAAAATAACTTTAGCAATATTATAAAAATTTTTGCTCCAGTTGATACTAACAGTTGCTCAAAAATTGAATGTGATAAATTGTTATAATATTATAAAATCATAAAACTATAAAAATATATAATTACATTATTATATTTTGGGGCAAATTTGACACTTGCAATAGCCAAAAGAGGGTGTTTGATCAATTCAGCTAGAAGATAAAGGTCATTCATACCCATATACTGGCGTTGTCAGTTGAAATATAAAAAAAATCTAGTTAAAAACATGCAAAAGCTGCACTTATAAAAAATTCCCAATTTGTGGGTTAATTTTCCACTAAACAAAAAAATTCAAATTAAATTGCTTTGGCCTAGTGATAAGGTTAACTAACTATAGACCTCCATTTAAGTACCTTAATCTTATAAAAATTCATTTAATGCATTTATTCTATCTTAAATAAAAAATGTTTAAATTTGAAGATAACAGCACATCTAAATCATTTAAAATTCTGTAAATTAAAGGAAGCACTAAGGCTTGAGGTTTATTAGACAATTTACTTAATTTCTACTTAAATCAACAATTCTAGGAAGTTCTGCACTCATTGTACAAATAGACTTCATGGATATTAACCTAATTGACAGAAAACATTCTGATTGTTCATTTTAAATATTTCAAGTTGTTTGTTTACAAAATTTGCATCAAAGGGTTTTAGTAATTATAGTCTCGCCAAAACATGTCCAAACAGCATGTGGAAATGAAAAATTTGAAATTTAAGTTATTTTAGTTGTGCCCATTATATTTCATACTTTTCAAGAAACTCATATTCAAATGCACTATTATGTATAAGTGCTTGTGAGGATCAGGAAAAATCTTAAATTGAAGTAATTCATGTGCAGTCTTATGCTTGAAATTTGAAAATAATTGTGATTTCCAACAAATGCTTTAATGTAAATGCAGTCTTATCAATATCTAGGTTAGGCATGTAGCTTTACTGAAAAGTAAAATAGCAAAAATACCAAACTACAAGGAAAATTCAAAACGGAAAGTCCCTTATCAAATGGCAAAATCATCAGCTCAAACACATCAAACAACTGTCATATTTTTGACTGGGTACAGTAATTTCCTTATGTAGAAAATGGTGGATTAAACCTGGTTTTAATGCTAGCTCTTCCTTGTTTGAGAGTCACATAGAATTCTGAGTATGTGCAAATTATTTACAATGACTATACTTGACTGTTTTGTGTTTGAATGTCAAACTATTTTAAAACATTAAACATTAATTCCCCTAAAAAAAAAATTTAAAAGTCAAACCATATTGAAGAATACTTAAAAAAGAAATGACGTCTGAACTAAACCATATTCTCAGAAGTCTGCGAGAAAACTCAATAAAGAAATGACATCTGACTTAAACCATATTCTCAGAAGTCTGCGAAAAAACTCAAAAAAAGAAATGACATCTGACTTAAACCATATTCTCAGAAGTCTGCGAAAAAACTCAAAAAGAAATGACATCTGACTAATAAACCATATTCTCAGAAATTTGCAAAAAAACTCAAAAAAGAAATGACGTCTGACTTAAACCATATTCTCAGAAGTCTGCATGATTTAAGAATTATCAATGTAATTTGCTATGAAATTTGAGCAAATATTTCCCAAGAGGCAGTGCTTGCTTATAATCAGAGAATCAACGTGCGAGTTATATTTTATTGCTGCTACTCCATAATCTTATTAATTGAAAATTATATAATAATTAAGATTTTAACCCAAGCTGATTTCTTATATCAACAATGTCTGTCAAATGTTAAGTGTCATACATAGCCTCTTAGTGATATTAAAGGAGCAGGCACAGACACAAATATCCCTCGTCAATTAAAATTCATCTTCAAAATGCAAATTAATCCAAAGCAGTATGAAACTGGTACGGAATATCACGTCAAACATGACATCAATCTAATGGATTGATTGAAGCAAATTCAAGTGCAATTAAAGATAGAAACTCTTTATGTCAGATTTTATTGACTTAAGCAACAACGAATTTCATACAGGATGTTACCAAAAGTTGATGCGCAAGAATATATCATATTGCACTTGTGCAAATAGAGCTTTGAATATAAAGTGACGTCATCAGTGACCATTGGCCTCAGTGAATATCAGTTTTCCAAAAGTCAATAAAACCAATTATTCCATATTGATAGAACTTTAGTAGGTTTTTCTTTATGAATAGGATTTTGAAAAAATTAGCATATATATTCATCTGCGGAAAAAGTATATTCACCGTGCAAAACGTCGCATGCTTTTACGTGTATAATAACAATACAATGTTTGACGTTTAGTTGGTTTTGGTAAATAACTGTTATTTTATACATATTTTTCTCGCTCGGAACATGGAATAAAACAATTACTGTCTTTTTTTTTGGTAAATATGTGGTTTAATTGACTTTTGAAAAAACCTAGTGACATTCACTTCGGCCGTTGGCCTCAGTGAATATCAGTTTTTCAAAAGTCAATAAAACCACACATTTACCTCATCAAAAGACAGTAATTGTATAATATCATCCCTGGTATAATATATATATTGCACCCCGGTGCTAATGCAATATAAAAATCTATATTCAGGACAATATTCATGCAATAACCCTATAATACTGTGTGTCCTATTTAGACCATGTTATTCTCTTGTTTTTATGTCTTAAGATTAAAAAAAATTTAGAAATAAAAACACACAAATATGAATGATAACATATAAAACAAGCATTCTGAGAGTATTGCATGGCAATACATAGTCCCCTACCTGTTAAAACTTAATTGTACTGGAACAAAATGCTAACTTGATCTATAACTTGTCATGGCGTAAACTATATAACAAATATCAAGTCAATATCTTCAAGCATGATGAAAAAATTTGTGTAAAACTGATTTGATTATTTAAGTGAATTTTCCAAGGACCATAACTCTGCACAACATCATTAGACCAGTACAAAATTCCAACTTGATTTGTAATTTGTCATGATAAAACTATATACCAATTATTAAATCAATATCTTCAAGCATGAGTGAAAAAAAAAGGTGCAGAAAACTGATTAACTGAATGAATTATCTAAGTCCAAGGACCATAACTCTGCACAAAATCATCAGAACGGAAATAAATTTGAACTTGATCTGTAACTTGTCATGATGAAACAATACACCAAATATCAAATAAATATCTTCAAGCACGAAGAAAAAGTGTGGAAAACTGATTTGCCGGACAGACAGACAGACAGACAGACAGACAGACAGACAGACACAGACAGACAGACAGACAGACAGACAGACAGACAGACAGACAGACAGACAGACAGACAGACAGACAGACAGACAGACAGACAGACAGACAGACAGACAGACAGACAGACAGACAGACAGACAGACAAATAAACAGAGAACTTGCATTTATAATTGCAATTATTGAACAATAGACGAAAATGGGAGATTAATCATAGTAAACAATATGAATATCAGTTAATTTGACACAAATATTAAAGTCAACTTTGTTTCCTCCTGGCTAAGTAACAAAGCAACAGTAATTTTTAAAAACTATTCAATACAGACAAAACTTTATCAATGCACATGTGAAAATGTTAATAAGCAATTCTGTCAATTTTTACTCATCTTGCTGTTTGCAGTTCTCTCTTTCTTTTAAAGTTTTCAGGACAATTGCATACAATGCAAAAATTGATAAAATCTATTTAAGATGTAAAAGTTTTGTTCAATTCTCATGTAAAAGTGAAAGATTTTGCCTTGAAATTTTTTGTTTCTTCCAGACACAGACAGACTGACTGTGCTAGGACAAAAACAAAATGTCTCCTCACTAAATTATATGTTAGGGAGCCATCAAGTAGTTTCAAAAAATTATAAAATTGAAAAATAAAACATTATTTGTTTGACAACTTGTTTTCAACAAGCACTTTATTAATTCAGCTACTATTTTCACAAAAAAAATTTAAATCTGAAATGTTCATGACTTAAAAGTATTTTTACTCTTAAGATTTTTTTTTAAAAGAGTCACAGGCTGTTTTCAGTACAATTATGTTCCTAATTGAAAGAAAGTTAAGCAAGAATATAGCACTACAGTACAATTCACCTTATTTTAACTCAAGTGCTGTTTCTTATTGTATGTTGCTATAATATATCATTTTTATCACAGACATGTTGCTGTTTCTGGGTTTTTATAACAAAAATACTGATCTCCACTGTATATCCAAAACTAGAAGTCTATAAAAACTGACAAAACCAAACACTTGACTATGCATCATCCAATGGAATGTCTGGAAACAAGTGTCATATATCTGAAGATGAAAATGGGGGGTTTAGCCAGGTTTTACAGATAGATAAATCTCTATTTTGTATGACAATTGACTATATTTCGGTTATATTGACAAAAATAGTTTGAGCAACTCAAACAGACAATAAATGGGATCTAGCTGCCAAAATTGTGTAAACATACATTGCTCATTGTTGAAAGCCATATGGTGACTTATAGTTGTTAATTTCTGTGTCATTTGGTCTCTTGTGGAGAGTTGTCTCATTGGCAATCATACCACATCTTCTTATTGGCAATCATACCACATCTTCTTATTGGCAATCATGCCACATCTTCTTATTTCTATATCATAAGTATTTACCATAACTAAATTCAATACTAACAAGAATATGTCCATAGTACATGGATGCCCCACTCGCACTATCATTTTCTATGTTCAGTGGACCGTGAAATTGGGGTCAAAACTCTAATTTGGCATTAAAATTAGAAAGATCATATCATAGGGAACATATGTACCAAGTTTCAAGTTGATTGGACTTCAACTTCATTAAAAACTACCTTGACCGAAAACTTTAACCTGAAGCAGGACAGACGGATGAACAGACGGACGGACAGAAGGACGAACAGGATACAAAGGAGAGAAGAAAGATACCAAAGGGATATTCAAACTCACAAGTCGAAAATAAGCTGACAATGATGACGGAAAGGTATTGTATACAAAGCTTCCAAACAAAATATTCGGAAAGCATGTGAATCTATTCAGGAAATTTATCATTAACTAAAATTAAATTACAAAAATATTGATAAATCGTACAAAAGGAAGGTGAGACAACGAGTAGAGCAAATGAACTCTTAACAATTTTGAAGAAATGAGAAATAAGTTAAGAGTTCAGAGACCCCTACTATAATATTAGATATCCTGAACATTTGAGGTTATTCACATGCTACTCCACTAACACAAATGTCTAGGCATATGGGTATATATATATACCAATATTTTGATAAAAAAATTCAGTCCCTAAACAAATATTTGTGGTTTCCAAATGACTAACGTAAAAAAAAAATTATTAAGAGAATACAAAATTATGTCTTAGCACTAAGATGCACTATAGACCATTCTCCAGGGTAAAAAAGACGGTCACATAATTCTACCAATTTAAATATTACCGTACAGTTGGTGACAAAAAATGATTAACAGTTGTTCCACATTATCACAATATTTACATATATATTCACTTGTGAATTGTTGTTTTCCCTATTTCTTGATTTATCTGTCTTCATTCAATGATCAAATAATAATAGTGCAAGTTGCCACTTGAAAATATTGGAATTATCATATACAAAAAGATAAACATGCAATGATTAGTATTCTTTATAGAGTTTTGATGGTTCTTCAAAAAAGAGGGAATTTCAGTGCTACAATCTCATTGAACTGAGCCGCGAGTTTGAAAGGCCATTGATAATCTGTGTATCTTTATTTTTTCCTAGGCAACATCAATGATGCAGGATTATGACGTCATACATTCTCTCTCTACTCAATTAAGAAAACTTTAATTAATCACTCGAGTAGCATGTGAGAAAGAAATTATTATACAGAAAGATCAAAGGAAAATTTAAGAAAATAGCTGTCTATATGCAATAACTGTATAATTAGAAATAAATATGGAAAAGAAAAGGAGATGGGTAATATATGTCCATAAGACAGTAAACTGACAATGCAAAAAAAATAAAACTCCAGAGGTCAACATGCAGCTGTTTGTTTATCAAATCAAGATTGATTGATTAGTGGGTTTAAAAATGGTGCCACATTAAGAACTACATATTGCCCTTATCATGTCAACTATAATCTATTTAGAAACTGAGACTTCATCTTGAATGTGAATATTTTTAAGGGTTTTGATGATTTCAGATTTTTTATACAGCCCTGCTATTGAAGCTTAATTCCTCAACAACCACTCCAATTACCCCCTCCTCCACACTAACACACTTAATGAGGTAGTATTGTAATGATTTCAAATTTTGGTATACGCAGCTCTTCTATTGCACTAAAGAAGATTTATCAATATTCACGGGATACCAAATCTCATGGATTTTGAATACAGTATATGGTATTGACTTGCTCCAATAAATTGACCAAACCCGGCCCCGTCACTTACCTCCATGTGGTAAAGTTGTTATTATTTCCGATTCTTTGGTGTACAGGACTTCTGTTGTGGTAATCACCAATGAAATACGGAACTGAAAATATACAAACATTATATTTTGAAATTATTAAACAAAAAAGATGACATACTTAGTGTTTTAAATTTGTTGGGTTGTCTCATTTACATAGGTATGTTTTTATTGTTATTTATTCCTATACCAATGGGTACATGTATTACTAACAGTATAAAAATAAGGAGATGAAGTATGCATTTTATAAAAATGCTAATCAAAGAATGGGATCAACTGTGTCTCCTTCAGAGTTCAAAATTAATGCCAACATAAAAATGGCTTTATATGGACTAAAATTTGCCTGAAAGCCTGTTAAATTTGTGAAAATTGAGAACATAGGGAGCAAATTATACTAAATTAACACTTTAGGCCTCTTGGACTTCTATTGTGATCACATAGAAAAGAAAAGTGTTTATGTCTAAAGTCCCTATGGGCTGGATGTTAAACACTAATCCATCCATCCATATAAGGTTATAGATATATAATATAGCCTCAGGCCTCAAATCAACAATTAATACAATTTTAACATTTTCATATTTGGCAGAACAGTTTGAAGCTGAAATACAACTTGGGACCTCTTGTTTATTACTGGAAACCATAATCTCCTTATTTATAAATAACATTTTTATTTTAAGCTGAACAATTCGAAATTTGAAAAACAACCTAATGCCTCTTGTTTACAGCTAAAAAACACCACAATCTGCCTATCAAACATATATAGATAACATTTATCACCCTGCCAAGGGGATAGTGTTGACTGATGCCCCTCTCCAGTGCTATTATCAATTTTTATCAACAACAGCAGAGGATTAAATTTCGACAGACAAAGAAATCACCTAATTATATAATTAAGTTTTGGTTACATAATATCCTGTGCTATGATATAATGCATGCTGTAAATTTAAAGTTCATTCATAAAATATATGATGTTTAGACAAATCAACATGGCACAAAAATGTAAGTGTAGCACGTTCTGACAGCAAAAAATAAATTCCACAAGAGGTACAGACAGTCCACTGGTTTTTCCAGTCGGTAATCAGAGATGATAAAGTTACAGCGTAATCTATCTATTTATTTTATTATTCTGTTGAAAAAAGAATCCACTAGATTTGTTTTAATGCTGAAATTAAAACCATGCCAATTATCTAAAACTCAGAAACTCCATAATTATACTGTTACAAAATTATAAAGAAAAAACAATTTACCAGCTGATCAGACCATTCAACTAAGGATTTTCAAAGCAGATTTGTTTATGTAAATACATCAAAAAATGGATGTTGTTTCTGCTGCTGCCTACCTGTGTCTTATCTGCAAATTGTTCTGTACTTCTAAAGTTTGAACCAATTACAGCTAAACAAACAGTTTAAATTATCAGACCATAATATGGCAAAATCTTCATTAGTATTTTCTCATTTTCCTCTTTATTTATCATTCTGAACATGCATGAAATATTTGCCACTGGGAAAACATACTATAATCAATCAATTCTTTATTCATTCATGCAAAGTCATTTTTTAAAGAACAAAGAAATAAAGTTTATGTTTTTCCAATTATTCCACATATAAGAATGAGACGTATATCTCCTCTGATTACCAAAAGGGATAAAACGGACCACAAATTTCCATTAAGAAATTCTAAGCTCATCTGGGAACCCAATTCTCAAATAAAAGTTCATTGTTTTAACTATTTTATAATATTTATGAATTGAATATCAAAGAGAGTTGAAGATACCAAAGGGATAGTCAAACTGATAAGTCAAAGACAACCCGACAACACCATATATGGCAAATACGAAAAACAACCAAAAGACAAACAATATTATACAAAACACAACTTAGAAAACTAAAGACCAAGCAACACGAATTCCACGAAAAAAAATGGTGCTGATTGTAGGTGCTTTGGAAGGATCAAGCAGATCCTGCTCCACATGTGGCATTAAGGTCGTACATAACACTACAGGGAGATAACTCTGAAAAATCAGCTGAACGTTTTAATCAAGTGCTATAGTTCAGGAAATATCAAGCTTCTCAATGATCAAAATTAGTAATTGTCAAACTGCTATATATCCAATGAAATTTTTCAGATAAAGTGTGTGGTTTTTTGAAATTTTTTATATTTTTGACAAAGGGTCAAAGTAAATATTTTGTCAAAATTTTATGAAAATTAATCGAGCAAAATTCATTTTAGTCAAGGTGTTTGGTACCACCTGAACTATTTGAACTTGATAATTGGAATTTATTTTGATTGTCCATGATATGTTATAAGTACCAAATGAAATAAATATAAGCATCTACTTTTTCATACTTCTGTACTCAATTTAGTCCATTTCAAATGAAGAACAAGAATGTGTCCATAGTACAAGGATGCCCCACTCGCACTATCATTTTCTATGTTCAGTGGACCGTGAAATTGGGGTCAAAACTCTAATTTGGCATTAAAATTAGAAAGATCATATCATAGAAAACATGTGTACTAAGTTTCAAGTTGATCGGACTTCAACTTCATCAAAAACTATCTTGACCAAAAACTTAAACCTGAAGCGGGACAGATGAATGGACGGACGAACGGACGGACGAACGGACGAATGAACTGACGCACAGACCAAAAAACATAATGCCCCTAGGTGGGGCATAAAAAATTATTACATATTTTCCATATTGGCAATTTTGTATCAGAGCTTTTCAAAAAGTAAACCAGCTATAATTAAAAATTAAGGTGCACTCATTAACACAACAATGATAACAATTTCTGAATAAAACACAAAATTTAATTCAAAATATGAATTACAAGTATAATAAAATGCTTCGCTGGGCGCAGCTTGATACGACCGCAGAGGTCGAACCCTGAACAGTTGGGGCAAGTATGGACACAACATTCAAGCTTGATACAGCTCTGAATTTGGATTGTGATTAAATATTTGACACAGCATAGGTTTCTGACACAGAAAGAATGTGGTCTAAGAACTTCATTTTTTTTAATTTACCTATTATGGTCCAATGTCCAAAATCAAAATACATGGTTAGATTCAGCATATCAAAGAACCCCATATATTCAATTTTTGTTGAAATCAAACAAAGTTTAATTTTGGACCCCAACTTGGACAAACTTGAAAACTGGTCCCATAATCAAAAATCTAAACACATGTTTAGATTCAGCATATCAAAGTACCCGAAGAATTCAATTTTTGTTAAAATCAAACTAAGTTTAATTTTGGACCCTTTGGACCTTAATGTAGACAAATTTAAAAAACGGGACCCAAAATTAAAAATCTAAAAACACGGTTAGATTTGGCATATCAAAGAACCCCAATTATTCAATTTTTGATGAAATCAAACAAAGTTTAATTTTGGACCCTTTTGACCTCAATATGAACCAATTTGATAGCGGGCCCACTAATAAAAAATCTAAATACATGGTAAGATTCAGCATATCAAAGAACCCCATATATTCAATTTTTGTTGAAATCAAACAAAGTTTAATTTTGGACCCCAATTTGGACCAACTTGAAAACTGGGCCAAAAATCTAAAATCTAAATACATGTTTAGATTCAGCATATCAAAGAACCCCATATATTCAATTTTTGTTGAAATCAAACAAAGTTTAATTTTGGACCCCAACTTGGACCAACTTGAAAACTGGTCCCATAATTTAAAATCTAAACACATGTTTAGATTCAGCATATCAAAGAACCCCAAAAATTCAATTTTTGTTAAAATCAAACTAAGTTTAATTTTGGACCCTTTGGACCTTAATGTAGACCAATTTAAAAAACAGGACCCAAAATTAAAAATCTAAATACACAGTTAGATTTGGCATATCAAAGAACCCCAATAATTCAATTTTTTATGAAATCAAACAAAGATTAATTTTGGACCCTTTTGACCTCAATATGAACCAATTTGATAGCAGGCCCACAAATAAAAAATCTAAATACATGGTAAGATTCAGCATATCAAAGAACCCCATATATTCAATTTTTGTTGAAATCAAACAAAGTTTAATTTTGGACCCCAATTTGGACCAACTTGAAAACTGGGCCAAAAATCTAAAATCTAAATACATGTTTAGATTTTGCATATCAAATAACCCCATATATTCAATTTTTGTTGAAATCAAACAAAGTTTAATTTTGGACCCCAACTTGGACCAACTTGAAAACTGGGCCCATAATCAAAAATCTAAACACATGTTTAGATTCAGCATATCAAAGAACCCCAAGAATTCAATTTTTGTTAAAATCAAATTAAGTTTAATTTTGGACCCTTTGGACCTTAATGTAGACCAATTTAAAAAACGGGACCCCAAATTAAAAATCTAAATATAAGGTTAGGTTCGGCATATCAAAGAACCCCAATAATTCAATTTTTGATGAAATCAAACAAAGTTAAATTTTGGACCCTTTGGACCTCAATGTGGACCAATTTAAAAACGGGGCCCAAAATCCAAAAACTTAATACACGGTTAGATTCAGCATATTAAAGAACCCCAAGAATTCAAGAATAAAACCCCATTGAAATTGATCAAGAAATAAGCAATTTATACGAAGTATCTTCTTTTGCACAACACTGTGCAATTGAATATTTCTTGCTATTGCGCAATACTGTACAATTGACAATTTCTTGCTATTGCGCAATATTGTGCTATTGGATATTTCTTGCTATTGCGCAATACTGTGCAATTGAAGATTTCTTGCTATTGCGCAATACTGTGCAATTGAAGATTTCTTGCTATTGTGCAATACTGTGCAATTGAAAATTTCTTGCTATTGCACAATACTTATTATATAATAATTTACACATCCTGTTTGGTGTGTATCTCCTACCATATCATTATTATTTGCTTTTAAATATAAATCAGAAATAATCAACTTAAAATGGAAAATTTTAAAAGAAAAAAAAAAGGAAAAAAAGAAAAAAAAAAAAAAAAAAAATCTCCCCCCCCAAATTTTTTGAACCCCCTTATGATTCATCACCCCCAAATTCAATCCCAGCCTTCCCTTTGTGGTATGGTACCTTGCAGTACAATTTCAGAGAGATCCATACACTTGAACACAAGTTATTGTCTGGAAACTAGAAAAATGCTTATTTTTGGCCCCCAATTCCTAAACGTTTCGGGCAATTACCCCCAAACTCAATTCCAGCTTTCCCTTTGTGATATGGAACCTTGTAGTACAATTTCAGAAATATCCAAACACTTACACACAAGTTATTGTCATGAAACTAGAAAAATGCTTGTTTTTTGCCCCTTTTTTGGCCCCTAATTCCTAAAATATTGAGGCAATTACCCCCAAAATCAATTACAGCCTTCCCTTTGTGATATGGAACCTTGTGGTACAATGTCAGAGAGATCTATACACTTACACACAAGTTATTGTCTGAAAATTACAAAAATGCTTATTTTTGGCCCCTTTTTGGCCCCTAATTCCTTAACTGTTGGTACCATAACCCCCAAAATCAATCCCAACCTTCCTTTCGTGGTATTGAACCTTATGGTGAAATTTCATGGAGATCCATTCACTTAAACTAAAGTTAGAGTGCGAAAACCAATGTGTCTTCGGACGACGCCAGACGACGCCGGACGACGACGACGACAACGACAACGACGACGACGACAACGACGACGACGCCAACGTCATACCAATATACGACCAAAAAATTTTTAATTTTTGCGGTCGTATAATAAAAAAAACCAAGCACTTAAAACATTAAAATTGGAAAATTGGCTAATATATTTATAAAGATGCTTTAGTTATGAAATAATTTCCAGAAATTCTTAGTAAAAGACATTCAATTAAAAGCTTTTGTCATTTCTGACAGACAAAATTGACACTTAATAACCTTATTAACCTCTTTAAACTGACAAATTATCCTAATATGTTGTCAACTTTCTTCTAATTAACTGTCCTTTATTGACCTTGTAGGATATCATTACATAAGCTGATATCAGATTGTACTTAAACTTATAATGACATTTCGTCAAAATTTCTACGATTTCTAAGAATTCAACTAAACAGTAGGAGTATTAAACGATAAAATTTGTACAAATATAAAAGTCTGAATAATCAAGATAGAAAATTACTACTCTAGGGTTACTTAAAAGACAATAACCTTCAAGGACTGAAAGTATTGTGGTAAGAAGCCATTTTTACATGACATTTTCCCCTAGGCAAAAAATAATATTAGAATTTTTGATGTTGCGGTGACCTACCCACCTAAAAAGCAGCCTACCTGAAAAATTTTATGACACAAATCATTTAAAATCTTTTTTAAAAGTTTTTTTGTGCTCTAATGTCGATTTCTGTTCTTGTAATTTATGTTGGTGGCCAAAAAAAAAATCCCTACCTACCTACCCAACTCTACAAGGCATGGGTAGGCAACATCAAACAAAGAATTTGTTCTTAGTTTCTAAATTAGTTTCTTTTAAATAAGTCAAATAAATGTTGGAATACATATTCTATTTTCTTATAACTTGAATTGTGCAGATTTCTTTTTAGTAAATTGCATGAATCACCTGTTGAATTTAATGAATTCTGGGTAAAAATTAATTCTAGGTAAAAATGAATTCTGGGTAAAACTTTGAAAAGTGGTGATTGGCTGACAATGCTCTATATAACAGCTATCAAACCAATTATCATTATTTCCCTTTTGAGACTCTATTTTGGACTATTATTGTCTTTTGGGATTGGGATTTAAGCTTCCATGGATTTAGGGAATCAATATTGACTGAGGTCGCAGACAGAGGTTAATATTGGTTACTTAAATTAGGACTATAAAAGCTTATTATGTCCAATATTGGCAAGACTGTAATTGTTTATCATATTATAAGAAAGTAAAAAGGATTCAATAATGACATGAAATCAACATGCAACCCTGTCTGTAGCACTGCTTGATTACAAAGTCATCTATACCATTAATATTACATATTTATAAACATTGTGTACCGGTAATAATATTTCAAACATTTTTTTTATTATATAGTGTCTCCTTCTTCTGCTTGGACTAATTAAGTACAATGTAGCAGACTACATTTCCAGGAAATAAACCCAAAAAGCCAGTCAGCATTTCCACTGATATAAAATATTCAACATTACAGAATCGAAGGTAGGGCCTTCAACAATTAGCAAAACTTCATATCATACAATTTTATGTCAATCGTTGTATACAACCAATAAATTACCCACAAACCAAACCATTTGATTCTAAAACATATCTTAACTGTCCTTAATTTCCTTTGATTAGGGGTTTTACTTTTTAATTTTGATTATTAGCTGCTGAAAATTTAGGATATCAAATCCCCCGACTAAAGTTAAAAGCAGCTGCCTTTCTAGCATATGGTGAATTCATTATTAATCATGGATAACTATTTTCGTGGATTTCATGGGTGTAGGTATTCTACGAATTTTAATGTTCAATGAAGTTCAAATTTTCTTTTGGCTTGTATGCAGACTTTGGAAAGACCACAAAATCGAATATCCACGAAATTACAATTTTCCTCAATCCATGAATACAAATGAATCCATAGTAATTGTCAATTTTCAAATTCAAATACTAGAAGAAATATATAGCTTCTATTAATTCTTACCGTATAATTCATAAATGGCTGTAGACCAGTAATTTTTAGATCTCCATTTGGTTGTGCTAAAGAGCCCCCATAAATTGACCAATCGCCATTGGTGTCTAATACACGACTCTGAATGTAATATGTCACATTATCATTGATTGGTCCACTCCAATGTAGAGTAAGGAATGAGTAACCTTTGGAACCATGTTTTAGTTCTGGAGCTGGAAGATGTCCTAAATATTCTGAAAATATAAAAAGAATATACAATGTAATTCAAAGATGTCAAAAACTAAGAAGTATTTTGAGGAGCAAAATTTTTTTTTTTTTTACAAAATACAAACTAGAGGCTCTAAGTCACTCACCTGTATCTTCAACAATGCCCACTTTTTTAGTAAAAATCATCATTAAAGGGGAATAACTTTATAAAGCGTTAGCTGATAATTTCAGTCATGTTGACATATTTGTAGATCTTATCCTGTTGATAATTATTTCTTTTTAAAGTTTCCTTTTATCTATTATAGTTTTAAAGATAACAAGCAAAGAATGCAAAAAAAATGTTAAATATCATTAAAGGGCAATAACTCCAATAACGAATCGACAGACAATTTCGGCCATTATGGCTTATTTGTGGATCTTCGTCTTGCTGATGATTTTTGCTATTTAAAGTTTCTGTCTATCTATTATAATTTTCAAAATAAAGACAAAAACATCAAAAAATGGTAAAATTCATCATTTAAGGGCAATAACTCCTAATAGAAGTCGTCTGACAGTTTTGACTGAAAGAACCGTAGGTAAAGCTCAACATTCTGAACATTTATGCCCTGTCAGATTTTCTCTATTTATAGTGGTTTTCTAAATAATAGACAAAACTTGCATTTTACCCCTATGTTCTATTTTTAGCCATGGCGGCCATATTCTCCTAACCTATAAGGTGCATTTTGGTGAAACTTTCACAGTCTTCAGAAGAAGATGGCATTAATTGTGCAACTCCTATTACCTTTATTAATCTTATAGAGTATCTTTTGGAAAAACACAATAAGTACCCTTCCAGAGCCCCTGAGATCACCTGGTTTTACTGTTGCTCAGTCTTAAGTTTTCTATTCTGTGTTTTGTAAACTGTTGCTCATCTTTTGGTCATGCTTTTAGCCATGTCAGTTTTTTTTTAGACTTATGGGTTTAAATATCTCTTTGGTATCTTTCTCCACTCTTTCATTAGAAACCACAAACTGGCATATGTTTTCAAATGAATGAGTCAGTGTATAAATAAGAGAGCTAATACTCAGTTTTCCGAAATTTTTATTGCAATTACAATGTATAAATATTATAAATGAACTATCAAATTTATTTTTAGATCTTTGCTTCCATTGAAATTGGATGCCATGAAATTTGAACAAGAAACAAAGCTGTAATAGTATTTACTCATAATTGGGCATCAAAGCCTAAGCTTGGATTCGATAAAACTAGCTTCTGATAATGATGACGTTTATTTTAAAACAAATAACTGATCATTAACTCAGATTTAAACTTGAATGGACACATTTGAAGATTAAGCGAAAAATCTCTTGATGATGGTGACATTTGGCTATCTATTGCTAATAGACATCTCTGTATGATTTTCAATTATCACATTTTAAAAGCTTTGAACATTAAAAATGCAACAGTTTTGCAGTAAATGACAGACAATCATAATGTCAAAACGAGATAACATACTCAAAACAAGAATATACTCGTTTTGAGAATATACTCAAAGCGAGATAATATACTCAAAATGAGATACATGTAATATACTCAAAACAAGATAATATACGCAAAACGAGATAATATACTCAAAACAAGATAATATACTCAAAAACAAGATAATATACTCAAAACAAGATAATATACTCAAAAACAAGATAATATACTCAAAACGAGATAATATACTCAAAACAAGATAATATACTCAAAACGAGATAATATACTTTTTTTTTTCTGTTAGATTTAGTCATTCATCTACTTAAAAACATTAAAATATTGCTTGATCAAAGTGTTAGATTTTCAATTTGGTAATAAATTGGAAGGCTAACACAAATTAAGTTGTGTTTTCTACCACCTTTCCTATCCTAAAATGTCATGCTTACCCCCAACCCATTTTATGGACATTTTTGGTTAAGCAACATTTTTTTGTTAGGCACCTCGATAAATTCTGGAACATTTCCCTATATAGTCTATATAAAATATTTTAAAATATAAAATTCTTTTACTTTTTACCTGCACTATTTTTTAATTATAAATATCTTTTGTGGCTGTACTTAGTCAGGTTATATGGTCTATGTGTTGTTCTTTATTGTTTTCCTCTGAAGAATGGTGTGTGGTGGTTGGTGTAAATTCTGTTATACTGTCTAATTTATTATTTTTTTTGGGGGGGAGGGGGAGTGGGGAATTCCAACTATTATTTATATGTATTTTTTTTTTTATTATTGTGTTGTTTGGTTATTGTTTTACAGTCAATTAAGGTGGTACATAACACTACAGGGAGATAATTCTGTAAAATCAGCTGAATGTTTTAATCACGTTCTATTGTTAAGGTAATATTAAGCTTCACTATGATCAAAATTAGTGATTGTCAAACTGCTATATATTCAATGAAAGTTTTTCGATAAAGTGTGTGGTTCAAGTTTTTTGAAAATTTTATATTCTGACAAAGGGTCAAAGTAAATATTTTGTCAAAATTTTAAAAAAATTAAACGAGCCAAATTAGTTTTAGTCAAGATGTTTGGTACCACCTTAAGTCTTTTATTCATAAATAATATCCATCATTATACAGCTTTTCAAACTTGTCAAATTTTCCATACTTATCACAAAAATTTAGATTGATTAGTTTTAGTGTTTAATTAAAACAACTTTCAGCACTCTTGGATATTTCATGGCAGCCAGTTTTTATTAATGGAGGAAGCTATTGGTTACAAGAGCGCAATTATTCGTAATGCATTTTCCATAGGGTACCAGTGGTGTTCCGTATTTTTTTTCTCGAAGACTACACAAACTAGGGAAAAACGGGTAGCAGTTCCTGTTACTAGAAATGCCAGTGTTGCAATTTACAACCAAAAATATACATGGTCATGCGGCAAAAATTGACTTAAAATGCAGTTGAAAAAGATTGTCTATTTTTTTCGCTTAAAGAAAAAGGCATATTTTTAATGGCCCCGACGTGCAGAAATGGAAGATATTTTCTATACTTTGCAAAATGTTAATTTGATTTTCTGGATTTTTTAAACCTTATTGGATAAGCTTTCGATTAAAAGTAATTCCAATTCTGTATCATCCAATCAGAAGCCGTACAGGATTCTATTCAGAGTACCATCTTGGGGTAAAAAACTTGCCAGTAAAATGCAGACAAATAATTGTGCTCTTGTAACCTTAAGAGTACCTGGAAAGAACCATCAACGTTTGGCAGGAAAACACAAAATTTAAATTAACCGTTTTACTGGTGGAAAACTGCAAACCAACATTCTCTACAATGATATTGGGTATTTATGGAAAAGTAGGTATTTTGTAATCATCAATTTATAACTACATCAAATAAACTAATTGTGAAAGACAATTTTAACTATTACTTTCAATAATTATGTTAACGACATGCCTCCCTTAAATCAAAATGGCCAGTTTACATGGATATTGATATTTCAATATAAATAAATCTTAAAGAGTTTTACATCATTTTTTTCTTTTCATGCCTCAAAAATATGTATTTCCCTTTTTTCCAACCATAAATCTTAATTTCAAAATTGGCCTATATCAAATGAACTGCAAAATCTCATTAACCAAAACCACAAACAAGAATATGTTAGACAATTTAATAAATAATAGATTCTGTTTTATAGTTCACCAGCTGACAATTATTGGTATTACATGAAAACACTAATGGATACAAATGGTATTAATAGTAAAAATCAAAATGCATTCCATTTCAAGAGTATTAAGTGAGGCATGTATATATGCATGACAAATAGATATAGGTCTGACTGACTTTCTTTCCATGCTGGCAGTAGAAGATTTATAAAGAGATAGGTGGGGGAAAGGGTAGTCCCTCTTCCCCTATTTTAAGAAATGTATAATAGGTTATATTGCAAATCTCTTATTAAACTTTCCTCAAAGGGAGATTGTCCAGTTTACAGCTTCGAAAAAAAAACTGACATCTATGAAATATGATTGTTTTTATTTAATTGCACAATAATATCTTCAAAAATTGATGGCATTAAAAAAATGAAAAACCAACAGTAACAGACAATTATCTGAAATGAAACTCCTATACAGTTTATTACTATACAGTTAACATAACTATACAGTTAGCTACTATACAGATAATTACAATACAGTTAACGGTACTATACAGATAATGTACTATACAGTTAGTCAGTTAATGACTGTACATTTATCATAACTATACAGTTAATTGATAAACAAGTAAATTACTATACAGTTAATTACTATACAGTTAATTACTATACAGTTAGCTACTATACAGATAATTACTATACAGTTAACGTTATTATAAAGTTAATGACTGTACAGTTAATTGCTGTACAGTTCATAACTATACAAGAGTGTTGTAACTATACAGTCATGTGAGAGTTAACTGGTCCACCCTCGGCAGTGATATGGACTTTTAATAAATGGAGCAACACACTGCATATAAAGTTCATCTAAAGATAATATTGATAAAAGACGACTAGACAGTTGTTTTTCCTGTTTGAATTGTTTTACACTAGTCATTTTGGGGCCCTTTATAGCTTGCTGTTCGGTGTGGGCCAAGGCTCCGTGTTGAAGGCCGTACTTTGACCTATAATTGTTTACTTTTTACACATTGTGACTTGGATGGAGAGTTGTCTCATTGGCACTCATACCACATCTTCTTATTTCTATAAACATCTTTCCTAAAAAAAAACATGTCAATAATATACTGACAAAGGTAGACCTGTCAAGTATAATATTTTACAGAAGAACAATCTCTATTTGCTTTGCAATATCTTAAAACAATGACAATAAAGAATATGCAGCCGAGCGTATCACCATTAACGGAAAATGTACTCATCTTGAGGGGAAAAATAGAATTAAACGTGACAGCTATGGATCCGATGCCACTACAGTGATCAGTAAGATTCAAAGGAAACTGTATACACTCCATTTAACTTAATCTCTATGAATCAAGATATCCTTATCAGTTTATATGGTGAATTAAGAAAAGAAATAGACAGATCAATAATTGTGTTAAAAGGCAATTTGTTATCGCCATTAAAACAATGTCATAATATATCTCTTTATCTTAAAGATGGGAGATCGAAACTGATATTGATGGAAAGAAAAAAAAAGGATGGGAAATCAAAACTGATATTGATGGAAAGAAAAAAAAAAGGATGGGAGATCGAAACTGATGTTGAGAGAGAAAAAAGAAAGGATGGGAAATCAGATCAAATGTTGATCGAGAGAGAAAATAAAAGAAAAGAAATATGGTGGAAAAGAATCACCAGATGGGAGGGGGCAAGAATAAAAAAAATGTTGATAGAATGAGAAAACTATGGAAAAAATATGAAGAAAAAGTCACTTGCTCAGAGATAACAGGAGTATAACAAATCCATCCTGTTGACAGCTGCACTGTCAAGTGTTTTTGTTGTATTTTACTTTTATGACAGATGGTCTAAATAGAAAAAGCGGAAGTTTGTGAACAGGTTTAACTGTTTTAACCATATTTTGTGCATATAAAAAGTCAGGCTATCTGGAACATATGTTGTTTGCTGTTGTTTGTAACCATATATTTTATTGGAGGGGTCAGGGTGTTGGTGATGATTAAGTCAGGTCTGTTGTAATGTCTGATATTTTTGCTGTTGGTGAAGGGGGCATTAAGTGTTACCCTTGACTGTCTGTCCTTCTGTTCCATTTTCGTTTCCCTGACTCTAATTAAAGTTTGCCTCATCCAAATTTTATAAAACTGATACACAATGCTAAAAACCACAACAAACAGACAGAGTAAGAATTTGGGCAGTGAGTCATTTACCATTCTAGAGTTATGTCCCTTTTTAACTTGGAAAATTGCAAAGCTTGAGCAGGAGCATTCATGTTCTCACTTTAATGTACCTATTTGCTTTAAAAAAAAATTAAATCATAGGGCTATGATTAAATGAGCACAACAGACCTGCTTAACATCATATTGGAACAATCTCAGCCCAAGATGTTAACCTTTTTATATATAATCCATCTTAATTGTGTTTTTTCATTTAAAGTTTCAAATAAATCAAAATGGTCAATCAGTTCAAAACCTTTTTACTAATGAAGATTTAAATCTTTAAAAGATACAGTGACTTGACAAAGCAGTATTTTAATCTGTTGACAATGTAATGTTTTCAAGTTTAAACCAAAGACCAGCCAGAGGCATTCTTTAATATGAAAAGCCATAATGAACTAATCTTTCTAATGGCAACATATGCCTATTTCTCACTGAAGAATGCCTGCAGCTGAAATTCAAAATAACAAATTTTCCTTAATTATGAACACTTTTTTAATAAATATCGAATACTACATCAAATTAAGGAAAAATAAACATAGATTTGTTCCTTCTTTTTTGAGATACAAGCATATATAAATACAAGCATTAATCAAAGTACTGACATGCTGTTTACTTGGATGAACTGAAGACCTGATGGCTGGCAAATAAATAAAAAAAAATGTTCTATCTCCATGTAGACTACTAGCAGGTGCTTTTTCAAGTCAAATATCAAACATTTCAGCCATATTTAAGACGTTAACATACTAGTATTTAACATTAAATCAATTGTCTAGGTTCAATGGGCATAAAGGGCCCAAAGAGATAAAAAAAATAAGTTAAATGTGTTTTACACTGTCTGCAGACTGTATAATACATTTAATGGAAGCATTTCGATCAGACGTGGTTGCGTTTAAAAAAGACACCTTCCCCAAGTCAAGACTGGAGAAGTTTAAGTGACTATAATTCTACACTGTTGTGACTCTTGCTTGTGTAAACAGTATGCTTTGGTTGCCCTTTTCCTTCACAGCGTAGACTTTTTTTGTTCTAGTTTTAAATATTTCTAATTAACTCACTTTTTCTTAATCATGCCATGACCCCATCAATGCACAACCTATTAATATAATTTCTACCATGTTTATAAAAGCAATTGGTTTATTTGTCTTGATGAATTGTTCAAACGGAACAGGTAAATCACAGAAGCATATAGTGATTCGCTTAGTTTAATCAGTAGTGGATCAAGAAACTGTTAAAAAGGGGAGTGGTTACGTGTTAATAAGGGGAGTAGAAAGGAGCCAAACCTTTACTAAACTCAATGTTTACATGAAATTATTTTATTTATGTTATCGAACATTCCTTCTATAAAATAATATTATAACAAGCTGTGTATTGTGTATTTCACATACTAATAAATAGATATTAATTATTTACAATCATGAAATGAGAGTACATATTGTCTCCGTAGTGTTATGTTGATAAACTAAGAGTAACACGAATAATGTCAGTACTTATATTCCGCAGATCACCTACTGATCTCTGATTGGTACATTTACCTCGATAGGCTTCAGAGCCTTTTATAGCCGACTATACCCTATGGGTTTTTTCTGATCGTTGAAGGCCTTATGGTTGCCTATAGTTGCTTACATCCACTTTATTTGAACTTTGGTGGTAGTTGTCTCATTGGCAATCATACCTCATCTCCTTATTTTTATATAGGCTGGTAGACGGCACAGGATTATTCAAGTTTAACTAAGAGTAATCTCATGAATCAATAAATTTCATTGAAACAAGTCGTGATATACTACAACTACAAAACTGGATTTAAATTTTAAAAACATGTAGACTTATAATGATTACTTAAATTCAGAAGTACACATAATAATAGACGTACAGACGTACAGACGGACAAGGGTTAAACTCAATGCCACCTTCACTACGGCGGGGGCATTAAAATAGAGAAAAAAAATTGCTAGGCAAATGTTTTTTAATGCGTTATTCCTAGGAAAAACACAGAGGGTTAACAAAATATTACCAGGGAAAAGTTGAAATCAAGAAAAGAGCACATTCTTCAATGAAATAAATCCTTAAATAATGAACACCATCTCATCTAATATATGAATGCATGAATATTTCAATATTAAAGTGCAACCTTAATTATATTCCATGCAATTTCCAAATGATCCTAGCAAGAACAGAAAATATTCTTCTGTAGACATTTTGTGGGAATAAATGTGTTTCACCAAGTCTATCAGATTCAGCTATGACAAAGAACTATAAGTTTTACTTGGGAAATAAATATGTTAATGACTGTGTTTTTGTGGTTTTGTGTCATTTCACGACTCAACAAAACAGCGGGATGTGAGACAAAACGTCAAAATCAGGAATAAGGATGGAACATTGACACAGTTCTATTTGATCTTTGATCAATAATTGGGGGAAAATGTTATGTTGAAAATAAAAATAATCATAAACGGTACCAGAGTTTTTCATGATTAGTATAGCTTATGTAATTTCAGGTTTTAAAGTAAAAAGAAAAGCAGAAAGGCAGAAAGATTTATTTCATGATGAACTTTCAAATTATGCATATTCCAATCAAAGGACATTCACCTTGAAAATATTTCAGAGTGATTAAATCATCTACTGAATTAGAATAAGAAAATTTTCTTTACTAATCATAAAATTACTTATCCAAGAATTCAAATAAAGAAAAATATTCAACATGTGATTCAATAACAAATTCATTCTCAAAATTCTTGTAGTGCACAAGTAAACTATCAGTGTTTTTCTGTCAAATTCAGTTGAAACAAGGATATCCTTTGAATCTGGAATAATTTTGAATTCTGGTAAATTGATAAAAAATATATAATGAAAACTAACCCAACTAAATAGGGTTAGCCATCCACGCATGGCTAAGGTTAATTTTACTTCCACTGATATTTCAGTATTAACTAACTAACCCCCCTTAGCCATGCATGCCTAACCCTCTAAATTGGTTCAGTTTTCATCATACATTTCTTATCAATTTTCCAGAATTTAAAGTTATTACAGATTCAAATAATTCCTTGTTTTGAACATATTTCAATATTTCAATTATTGGATAGGTTAAATTCTATTTATCACATTAGCCATGGACTTTTTAATAAAAATAATTTTTCTAATCATTCTCAATGTGTTTTCATGCAACATCATCAACATGCAATGTCTTGACAACACCTATTTCTGTCTGACATAAGAAAAATGAAATTATCAGAATTATTTCACATGTGTAATTATTGGATTTTTTTTTAGTGGGTATATTCTAATTGTCAATATCTTTACACTGAGCATTAGCAAGCTATAAAATACTGACAAAAGTTACAATGGTTATCATGTAAAAATGAGCATAAGAGAATGAAAGAATAATTTTGATTCTAGTAGGACAAAACTGAATTAATTTAAACAGAAGCAGACTTATTGATATTAGCTCAGAATTGCTATAATTTTATTTCCAAAACTTTTCCGTAGATAATCCAAACTAAATAATGAAAAGTCAACCCTTATAAACTACACCATGTGACCCTGCTTTCCTATTTATGTTTTGCCTTTTTACATCCTTGTTCACTTAAGCAATCCCCCAGTTAGTAACTGCTCAGTGTCGGTTTTGTATTGTGTATCTAATCTAACAACAGTTTGTCAGAATATGCTATTTTTTAAAGGAGTCCATTGTGGGTGGGTGGTGTGGTGTGTTGTGCTGTCAAATAATTTTGGTGCTTCCTGTCATCCTTTTCATGTATTACACAATGCAATCAGTAAATTTATAGTGTCAGTAAACTCTATAAATGAAATTCATCTTTTATGCTTTCTGTGAAAGTTTTAAATAAAACTTTCCTTTTATGCTTTCTGTGAAAGATTCAAATAATACTTTCCTTTTATGCTTTCTGTGAAAGTTTCAAATAAAACTTACCTTTTATGCTCTCTGTGAAAGTTTCAAAAAAAACTTTCCTTTTTGCTTCTGTGAAAGATGCAAATAAAACTTACCTTTTATGCTATCTGCGAAAGATGCACACAAAACCTATCTTTTATTCTATCTGTGAACACATGTAAATAAAATTTATATTTTATTCTATTCAAGTACTGGAACACATGTAAATAAAACCTGCCTTTTATGCTATCCGTGAACACATGTAAATAAAACCTACCTGTTATGCCAAAGGTGAACACATGTAAATAAAACCTTACCCTTTATGCTATCTGTGAACACATGTAAATAAAACTTACCCTTTATGCTATCTGTGAACACATTTAAGGCATAACTACATCCCTGAGTACAATATTGTCTCTGGAAAATAAAAAAAAATAAAAATGTATAGAAAGATGTTCTTTGGTCCTAATTCATCTTGGATTCCAAACTAATGAGTTATTTCAGTTTTACACTGACCAAGCTCATATTACTGTTAACCAAATTTCTTGCAACTGGTAAATTTGATTTAAATTTTCTTAAGAACTGTTTCAAGAAATTTTTGGTGTTGAAACTGGAACTAGTCAAATGAGTTTTCCATTAAATCTGACTGCTTCATTTAAATATATGTGACCACAAAACTAGAATAAAATATAATCAAATGTCAGATTTAAAATTTAAAAAAAAAATGAAATGAAAATATTGTGATACATCAAAACCACAGATATTTACATTTCCTTTTGTACAGGGAAAGAAATTTGACAGAAAATTAGATAGCACTTTTTATGTTTGTGATTAAATAATTATAAGAGGTAAATAAGTAAAGTATTGTAACCAATAAACTACTTCTATTCCATAAAAATAAAACATAAGTTCATGGTTCCTTGAATTTGTGGCTTCAGACAGTGTATATCTCATACTGTTTTTAGGTTAATATATGAATTAAAATGTTGTTATGATCTGATGTTATTGTTTGGTGTTTTTTAATGAAATCTTTTAAATAATACCAGAAAAATGTTCATGTGCAGTCAGTCACAGACATCTGATATCTTTTCAATAAATGATAAATCATCATTAATTTCTAAGTTTAGATTAACTTTGTCAAGTCAGCAACATATGGCAGCACTCAATAAAAGCCAGACTAAAATACTGAGAAACAAAAGAGATGCAATTTGTCCATCTCTTTGCAGACATTAGTTTAATTTTGATTCACCAATTGAAAATTTTTTTTTTTTTTTTTTTTTTTGTTGATAAAATTTAGTTTCTTTTATTACTTTTTAAATTTTTTTTTTTTTTTTTATAGTTTATTGACTGAGTTTCGTGCACTCACATAGTTTATCAATAAGATAATGTCGAAATCTCTCACAAAAATATATCCATTCAATACATTTGTACAATTTTCAAAATCAAATATTTAGATATTTCAACGGACATATTTCTATGTTCATGGATTATGTCACATGAAATTTATTAAATGTATGGAATTTTTTATGGGTACTTAAACGTATATAGCTATCAAAACTTCTAATTCCACAGAAAAATACATTACTGTTATGGTGCATTATTCTTGCTGTTCAGTGTAACTATGACAATGTTTACTTGTAAAGACTTAATTAATGCTTCCATCCAGAGCTCCTACACAATACATAAAGAAGGATTAACAACAGTGATGGTGCTTTTCTTTGACTGTTCAGTGTAACTATGACAATGTTTACTTGTAAAGACTAATGCTTTCATCCAGAGCTCCTGAAGGATTAACAAGAGTGATGGTGCTTTTCTTTGACTGTTCAATGTAACTGTGACAATGTTTACTTGTAAAGACTAATGCTTTCATCCAGAGCTCCTACACAGTACATAAAGAAGGATTGACAAGAGTTATGGTGCTTTTCTTTGACTGTTCAGTGTAACTATGACAATGTTTACTTGTAAAGACTAATGCTTTCATTTCCAGAGATCCTACACAATACATAAAGAAGGATTAACAACAGTGATGGTGCTTTTCTTTGACTGTTCAGTGTAACTATGACAATGTTTACTTGTAAAGACTAATGCTTTCATTTCCAGAGCTCCAACACAGTACATAAAGAAGGATTGACAACAGTGATGGTGCTTTTTTTTTACTATTCAGTGTAACTATGACAATGTTTACTTGTAAAGACTATAATGCTTTCATTTCCAGAGCTCCTACACAATACATAAAGAAGGATTTAACAAAGCTAAAAACAGAATCATGAGAGGAAGGCTTGATGACATAATAATACCATGTACAAACATAGTCATAACTCAGTTTAAGAAAATAAAGAAAATTTACATGACAAAAAAAAAATTTAAAAAATCCTAAATTAGCAAACAAGTTCTAGGAATTGAGAGATTATGTCATTGGAAAATCTTAATTACAATCCTAGATTAAAAGCTTATACAAAAAAAACATATATCAGTTCCAATGACGTTATATTTTGACAGCCTTATTTCAAAGAATAATTCCATGAAATGATGTTTACACCACATTTAATTTACACTGAGGAAAAAGTTTACTGTCACTGGTGGTGAAATTTATTTCATTCTATTTTTATATGTATAGTTAATCTTTGAAGGATCCAGGATTAAAATTTAAATATAATTTTAAGTGATTCAAAACATTTACCAATTACAATTCCGTGGATTTGTGACATGAAAATGATGATATTTTAGTCACATTCGTTTATACTACACAAATGTTGAATTACACCGGGGGAAAAAGTTGGCAATATAATTCTGTAAATTCTGAGACCAAAATGAACACTTTAAAAGATCATACCGATTACATCACTTCTAAAAGAGGGACGAAAGATACCAGAGGGACAGTCAAACTCATAGATCGAAAACAAACTGACAACGCCATTGCCAAAAATAAAAAGACAAACAGACAAATAATAGTACAGATGACACAACATAGAAAACTAAAGACTAAGCAACACGAACCCCACCAAAAACTGGGGGTGATCTCTAAAGCTGTCATATCATTTTTTGGAAAATATTTTATATTCTAAGTCCCTGATTTGATAATATGACCTACTGAATTTGACTTATCACCGGGTTTGTACTTATATGAGCAACACGACATGTTCCACATGTGGAGCAGGATCTGCTTACCCTTCTGGAGCACATGAGATCACCCCTGGTTTTTGATGGGGTTCCGTTCGTGTTGCTCAGTCTTTAAGTGTTCAATGTTGTGTTTTGTATACTGAATGTTCCTTTGGTATCTTTCCCCTCTCTTTTTTTTCTCCTTGATAATATGATATATTTATACATTTTTTACTGTAGAAGAGTTTCATTTCACTTGGGAAACATACTTTTTTGCTTTTGAGGGGAAATAATTACAAAATAATTTTCTTGGGAATCAAATTTATATTTTTTTTATCTTTTTATCTAAATTACCATATATGCATCAATATTATTACAATTGGGTAATATTTTCTATAACCAATGCTCAAAATAGAGTGTGGAATAATCCTAGTGCAAAAAATGTAAAAGAATACCAAGATCAAATACAAACAAAGTCCATATGATGACGAAAGGATGACTGCACCATGGTGATAATTACAGAACAAAAAGACAAACCGCAGTCAACAAAGACAACAGATAAAATTATTGATCAGGATTCTGATTCAGATTAAGGTGCCTAGATGATTTCATGTGAAATGTTACCTGGTGAAATGGAAAAAATTCTTTAAAATATACTGAAAATTTATCCGCTCTCAAACTAAAAAAAAAAACAACCAAAATCTCAAAGAAATATTCAATTTTAACACTTCTGCTTCAAAATGCCACTATCAGATCACAATTTTACATAAATAGACGATGGTGACCTCACATTCAAATGTATACATATAGATATATTTCAACTTTTCCAAATTCAAGAGTCTATCCTAAATTGAGGTAAATTATATGGCCTTCCAAATACCGTTTCGATTCCTAACATCACTGAAGAGACATTATAAATTGTCGAAATCCGGATATGGTGTACTAATTTTGCACCTTTTGTTTGAGGTTTACCATCTTTTCCACAAGTTTATTGTTTTCTGTTTGGTATCAAATTAATAATTAAGATCCATCATGTTACATCTTGTGATCTGTTTATTTGGCAATCGCCAATGGCAGTCAGCAGGGTTTAAGAACATCCATTGTTCGACCTGCTAGTCAAATGCGTTTTGTTAAAATATACTTTTTCACTTTTTTGGTCTTTTGAAAAATGTTGTTTGTGCTGTATTTAGACCCCTCTACCAAGAAATTTGTTTTGCATGCACACGTATAAAAATTGCAGTTTATATCCAACGCAATCATTGGTTTTAACGTTGTTTTCAATTTAGACTTGTACATATAGATATATATATAAAGACCATGAACTGACCATCTTCAAGGACAAACTCTATGTGGTAACAAGTTAGAAATTTGGGTAAAAACCTTTTTTGACATATATCTTAAAAAGTATTGTGTAGGGTATTAAAATAATGTGTTTCAGAAGGTTTTTGTTTCTATTGAAAATTACAGTTTTAACAAAAACTGGAAAAAAAAACTGATTTATCTTAAATTTATGCTTTTGTCTGTTATTGAAAAATAATTTGTTTTTATCAAATGTATACAAAAAATTAAGAAAAAAAAAAGGTTTGTCACAGAAATCGTTAACCCCCCCAAAAAAATGGAAAAGAAACGAAAGATGAAGGGTAGGTGCCTTCAAAATTATATTTTATATTTTCAAACTTGGTGTACAGCAAATGTATCTAATACTGGTTTCCACACAGATCAGAATTACATAGACTAATAAATTCCAGTGATTTTTGTCAGTAATCAAAAACATTACTAGAAATCTAATCTCTGAGCAATCAGATCAATCAGGTTTTGCAATAGCTAAAACAAACATTGAGCACTTAAGATTTACATTTTTACATCTTAACTTGACATTAATCATCTATAAAATGCTCAAATTGGGAGACACAAACACTGAATCTCTCTGGGCACTCATCACTATACAAAATAAAGTTTATGTTCCAATACAGATGTAATTCCAAACATGTAACGATTATGTAATCCCAGCTAAATGCTAAAATGAGCAAAAAAATCTGGGAAAACAGCTCCATAATCAAGGAAATTATAAGATGAGGACAAATGTTTTCCCTTGGGGGAAACTTAAATGATTTTGAACAGTATGCTCTATGAAATAACCATTAATAAAATTAAACAATATGTTGAAAAAGGATATTTCCTTTTACTATTTTTATTTTGAAATTTCTTCCTAAAAGGTTGCAAATTAATAAAACAATTTGTTTTGCAAATGAACGGCTTTTATTTGAGTGCTTTAGTATTATGTGACCCAGAACTCAAAAGGACTTTTTAACACTGTAGTTAAATCCAACTTAAAATTCTGTAATCCTGAACTAAATGTTTCTTCAGTGAAAAAGTCCTGTTTCCATTTCATGGGGATTTTACATGTATATAACTCAACAAAAGTCTATATTTTTTAAGAAGATGAGTCTGACAAGCCATGGACCAATCAGAAATTATGTTGCATTATGTGGACATCAGTATTTTGGACCTTTTGTTTGGTGCAGATGTCATATCACTGTGCAGTCTTATTTACGAGGAAATGGATGAATTTCTGAAATGTTCCATAGAATATGAAGGTTTCCAAAGAAAAAAGTTAGCTTATGCTACAGCTGAGGTTTCTGAGAAATGAACTTGAATGTCTGTGAAGTTTTTCATCACATGGATATTTTTCAATGGTCTTTTTATACTGCTTGTAAAACCATTCCTTTCAAAATGAGTTGTTATTTAAGAGTTAAAAGATGCTTTGAAATGATAGGTAAATTTTGATAAGATAACAACAAGGCTATCTCTGATCCTAGGCAATTATTTTCATCACAAAGTAAGTTCATATGAATTACTGCATTTTTTTACAATGTTGTCTGTGGCCCTCAGGAATTTTACAGAAAAAATAAATTTGCTTTCAACACTACTATTGATGGATACAAAGTTTTGTGCGTTAACGAAAATTGTATAATGTGTGATTGTAATAGCAAGTTCTTCAGTTAAGCCTGAGAAAAAGTTGCATTTTGTTTAACACTTTTAAAACAAGAGGCTCTCAAGAGCCTGAATCGCTCACCTGCATTTCAGAGGAGAAGATTTTTAAATGTTAGAAAACTTGATGAACAAATTGTGTAAAATTGTCTTTAAAGCGCAATAACTCCTTAAGGGGTCAATTGACAATTTGGGTCATATTAACTTTTTTGCAGATCTTACTTTGCTGAACATTATTGCTGCTTACAGTTTATATATATCTATAATAATATTCAAAATAATAACAAAAAACTGCAAAATTTTGTTAAAACTACCAATTCGGTGGCAGCAACCCAACAATGGGTTGTTCGATTCGTCTGAAAATTTCAGAGCTGATAGATCTTGACCAACTGAACAATTTTACCCCATGTCACATTTGCTCTAAAAGATTTAGTTTTTGAGATATAAGCCAAAAACTGCATTTGACCCTTATGTTCTATTTTTAGCCATGGCGGCCATTTTGTCGATGGATACAAACTTCGGATACAATTTATAAACTAGATACCCTAAAGAACATTTAGTTAAAGTTTGAAGGTATTTGGCCCAGTAGTTTCAGAGGAGAGGATTTTTGAAATAGTTTACGACGACAGACGACGACGACAGACGACGGACGACGACGGACGCCAAGTGATGGCATAAGCTCACATGGGGCCCTTCGGGCCCCGGTGAGCTAAAAAGTGAGTTTGACCTATAGCTATACACACGAAATCCACAAAAATCAGTTTACCACAAAAAATATTGAATCAAGAGTAGGTTTAAAAATATTGGTACAAGGATTCCATAGAAACGGTCAATATAATTGTCTAGTTTCCTATTTTATCTATTTTACTTCATACAGACAGATAGTATAATTGTAATCTGACATTATGAAATCTAATAAGATCTGTGCTCTCATGACTTTTATTCACTGTGCTTCCCTGACTTTTATTAACTGTGCTTTCGTGACTTTTATTCGCTGTGCTTTGATTTAGTAATCTTTCAAACTATGACTGTGTATCGAAACAATTAAATTAAACAAAATCCACAAATTGTCAAGAGACCAATAGGAACTTAATAAAAACAGAAAAATTTAATCACAAATTGTTTCTATGGCAGAGTAAATGTGTAGATGAATAGCTTCTGACTGGATTATTGCACCATCAATGGTATTACAGTATAATTTCATTACTCAGTAGGTTACATTAGATGTTATATTTCATTAGAAGAAAAAAACATACAAAAACTTTCCTAAAAGTGCTTGAATTAGGCAATTCTAAAAAAAATCGTATTTCTGTATGTTTGGTTACTAAAGATTCTTTCCCAGCTAATTGAATATGTCTCTTCAATATTTGTATTAGGTTTGGAATTTCATTTCAAGTATTTTGGCCACAGTATCACTGAAGAGACATTGCCGAAATATGTATTTGGTAGAGCAAAATTTGTACCGTTTATAAATTGACATTTATTCATTTCACTTACGCCATGTTTTTTTTTATATAAAGAGATCAAATGAAAGTCTGAGAAGAATAAAAGAGCATACCAATTTTAGTTTTAATGGTTCTTTGGATTTCCAAAAAAATCACTGTAATATTAGTATGGAAACTTAATGCATGAACTACAATATTTAATTATTTAATAACTATTTCAAAGATTTTAAAAGGGGGATGGTGTCAAGGAAAACAAGGGGGATTAAGATAAATAAACCAAATTAAGGAGTGGTCTAGTATGTAACAATCTTGACCAGTGTTTCTATGGTCAAATATCATATTTCTCCACTTGAGAAAGCTTTAGAATCTCAATTACGAAAAATGTCAGGCTTGCAATATGATTTTGGTTATGTTTCAGATACATGTACTAATAGTATGTTGAATTCTGTTTGATGGATAAACAGAGTATGTGTCTTAATTCATTTTTTCTATTTTTTTTCTTTATTTGACAAAATTACTGGTATTTTTCACCTCTCAGTTTGACAAGGATTTAATGGCATAAAATTTTAATGATCAACAATATACAAATGACAGCTGTTCAAATTATCCATGTCCATGTCCATTTAATACTGGACAATAACCTTGGCTTTAAAGCTACAGGTCAACCTAAATTAAGTTCAATTGACCAACTCATTTTCTGAAATTATCAAACAGACATTAAAAGGTAATTTAACTAAATAATATAAAATGACAATGGCGTTGAAGTGTTAGACACTGGCCAGGGTCCTTATGCTTCAAATATTTTTAAAATAATCATTAATTAATTCCTTTTTCATACTTGACAGTTAGAAATGAATGGCTAATGATTACAAATATCTAATAATAATAATTTTTATAATAATAATAATATTTTTAATAATAAGTAATAAGGAACAGGGAAACAGGAAAGGGGTCTGGTCATTTTGAAAATGCAGCCTTAAAAATTATTTTGATCCCCCAATAAAGTTTCTCAAAATCTATTTACCGCTCCGAAAAAGATGTGCTTTATTCCATTTTTGTGATCTCATTTCTTTGCAACAATTTCCAAAATCTAAGTGTTGCTTTTAAAACATTAACAACAAACAACTGTCTATTAGAAGATAAATGTCTCCTCGTTAATGATAACAAACTAGTGTCATCAATTCAATTCTCATTTACATGCATGTAATTACCAACAAATATCAGTACATGTACAAATTCTGCACTTCGTTTGTGAAGGTAATAATGTCTATTAATTGAACCTGTTCTTATTTTAAAGCTGGCTTTAACCTCTGCCATCTGTTTGATGATTGGTGGAATGCTTTATGCAACATTATGATAACTATCAAGGTCGGATCCTGGATTTTTTTTAAAGGGGGGTGAGGAGTGTTAATTATTGCAGAAAACATTATATATGACGAGCAGAGCAAAGCGACCAAAAAGTTTGGATTTGGATTTTTGATTTGATACCAAAATTTTTTTTTTTTCTGATCAAAGGGGGAGTAACATCCTCTACAGGTTGAAAAAAATAAGGCAGCTAAATGTTTATTTTTATCCCATATCTAATTTCTTTTGACTTTTTAACTTGAAAGGCATGAAAGCTAATCAAGGTGTATATAGTGAAATCAATGGTAACAAATTTGGAAAATTTTGTTCATGAAATTCTATGATTTTGACTGCAATTATGACCGTTTTTGAAATTCTGCTTGAATTCATTGTGAAAAATCAATTTTGCAAATACTTTTAAGTGAATCAATTTGAAAAAAAGTTGATTGGTGTGATTTTGGGTACATTTTGTATTCACTCTTTGGATATGTCTCTGACACACAATTTTCATTCAAAACTCAGCAGTCCAAGAAAAACTGACAATGCCATTGCAAAAAACAGAAAATAACACTAAACAGAACGCTAAAGACTGAGCAACAATAAACCCTGATAAAAACTAAGAAGGGTAAGTAGATCCTGCTCCACATGTGGCACCTGTCATGATCTGTCAATCAAGATCAAATTCTTTACAGGACAAAAAGATCTATTGATATAACATAGATAACCACTAATGAGGTTCTTGGCTTGTGATTGGGCTTACCCCAGTTTAAGATTTCTTAACCCCTCCCACGTTTCTTACCTCTGTCTGTTGTAAACTTCTAGCAGAACTGGTCCCATCCTGTCAATATAAAACATACTTCATGAATATTCATTTATATCAATTGTGAAAATAACGGTTTGCACATAGAAAATAATGCTGAATCTTATCAACTTTCTTAAGAAGAACTTCAATGTATTACTTGACAGCTGCTGTCACCAAAGATTTCACTTTAACTTACTCATTACCAAATGGTATCATATAGACAATGAACTATACAATGGAAAATGTTCTGCTGTAGTGTCAAACAATTCATGGATAATTATTTTCAAAAAAAAGGAGGGAAAGTTTTTTAATTAAGGAACAGTATAAGTAATTGGTCAATATTTAGGACTTGATGAAAACTTGTATGCTTTAAGAACTCATTGAACTTTATCTGAATATAAAAATGAGGATATATCACATAAAAAGCAGCGAAAAATGTTCTCACATTAAAATGCTTTTTTTTTTAAATCCACCACAGAATTTTGAGTAAACATTTTTTATCTTAAAATATTTAAGGGGGCAAATTTATCATATGAAAACCATTATCATGATTTCTATTGTCTCCCTTAAGTCTCCTTGTTCAGTCTTCAATTTTACCTGTTTGGCTGCCATGGAGAAGTAAGTTCTCCCTTAAATTCTGATGTTATCTTGTTAAAGTTAAAAATCCTGCTTCCAGTGACCTTAGCTTCCAATAACCTGACCTTAGCTTCCAGTAACTTGACCTTAGCTTAGTGACCTTACCTTCCAATAACCTGACCTTAGCTTCCAGTAACTTGACCTTAGCTTACAGTGACCTTACCTTCCAATAACCTGACCTTAGCTTCCAGTAACTTGACCTTAGCTTACAGTGACCTTACCTTCCAATAACCTGACCTTAGCTTCCAGTAACTTGACCTTAGCTTCCAGTGACCTAAACTTCCAATAACCTGAACTTATCTTCCAATAACTTGACCTTAGCTTCCAATAACTTGACCTTAGCTTCCAGTAACTTGACCTTAGCTTCCAATAACTTGACCTTAGCTTCCAATAACTTGATCTTAACTTCCAGTAACTTGACCTTAGCTTCCAATAACTTGACCTTAGCTTCCAATAACTTGATCTTAGCTTCCAGTAACTTGATCTTAGCTTCCAATAACTTGACCTTAGCTTCCAATAACCTGACCTTAGCTTCCAATAACTTGACCTTAGCTTCCAATAACTTGATCTTAGCTTCCAGTAACTTGATCTTAGCTTCCAGTAACTTGATCTTAGCTTCAAATAACTTGACCTTAGCTTCCAATAACCTGACCTTAGCTTGCAATAACTTGACCTTAGCTTCCAATAACTTGACCTTAGTTTCCAATAACTTAACCTTAGCTTCCAGTAACCTGGCCTTAGCTTCCAATAACTTGACCTTAGCTTCCAATAACCTGACCTTAGCTTCCAGTAACTTGACCTTAGCTTTACAAGATTTCTTCCTGAACAATTTTGGTTTCAAAACCTAACATTTTTTTTAAATCATGGTGGTCCTTGCATGTGTTTGAAGCAAAAACTATTAAAATTTAGCCTAAAAGTTAGTCAAAATTATGTCATAAGGACATCATAAGTGTTCTAATATATCAGAATTTATTGGTTTTGTATTTTTCAGATATTTTTACATATTTTGTAAACAGATGTTTACTATTATTACTGAATTCAAATTTCACAGAACTATAGGGCCATTATTGACCCTTCATAAAACTACTCCAATACCTGTTAGTGTTGATTGTTTAATTGCTTTGTTAATCTATCAATAGGCTGAAAACTGTATCTAGAAATATTTGGATCTGACAACTAACTAAACATAAACCAAATAATTTGGCAACAGGGAGAACCTTAAGTGCATTGTAAAGAAACAATCATTTGTACATAAAACACAATTCTCTATTAATTGTGTGATAATAATGAAAACGATACTCTTGAGTAAAAAGCTATCCCAAGTACTTTTCTGTATGGCAACAATCTAGCAATGGATAGGACCAGGGAGGGACATATAATACAAATGTTCTTTTTAATTCTTTAATGATAACAAGTTATATTCTTTGTAGTGGTAATATCCAGTCAACATGAATAACATAGTTTTCATTAGCAAAATTCTGACACAATTTTTTCAAAGAGAGAACATCTAGTTATACAATTTTTTTATGTACACATGTCACAAACATCATACATGTGCTTACATATGTTAATTAACTTCATTGTAAATGGCCAATTCTCATTTAAATTTAATCGATGTTTTCAGACATTTAATTTATAACTCAAAGCTGCTAAGGTGAAATTTCGGTAAATCTAGGTCACCTAAAGCAAGCGATTTTCCCTGAACAGTGCTGATTCAATGTTCAACAATTGTTTAAATACCTCTAGATAAATTCAAACAAGAGGGAGGGTTTGGCGCCAACAAACTAATTTAACCCCAACAAACAAGTTTAACCTCACCACATTTTGTGTGTGTCTGTCCCAAGTCAGGAGCCTGTAATTAAGTGGTTATCTTTTGTTGCTGTATATCATATTTGTTTTTCGTTCATAGTTTTGTACATAAATCAGGTCGTTATTTTTCTCGTTTGAATTGTTTTACATTTGTCATTTAGGGGCCTTTTATGATAAGCTGACTATGCAGTAAAGGTTTTGCTCATTGTTGAAGACTGTACAGTGACATATAGTTGTAAATATCTATGTCATTTGTTCTCTGGTGGAGAGTTGTCTCATTGACAATCATACCAAATCTTCTTATTTTTATAAACTGACTGTTTATGGTGTTTTTACACTAAATCTGATGGTAGTGTACTGACTAATATTTTAGTAAGGGAGAATATGTTTTATTTATTAGTTGTAAGTCCCTTTGAACTAGCTCTCAGTAACTCACAGTACTCTTAGATAAGTAATGTGTGTCTTTTGTTTGTATGTTAGTTGTTGTTTGTGCTTTGTGCCAGTCTGATGAATCTAGACAAATCCAACTGATTTTTTCAGTTTGTTCTTATTTAAATTTAATAAAAGTTTAAAGATTTTTTTGGAATTCAAAGCTGCTAAGATGAAAGTTAGGTAAATCTAGGTCACCTAACGCAAGTGATTTTACCTGAGCAATGCTGATTCAATGTTCAACAATTTTTAAATACCTCTAGATAAATTCAAACTAAACTGACTGTTTATGATATCTTTACACAAAATCTGATGGTAGTGTACTACTGATTAATACTTTAGTCAGGGAGAAATTGTTTTATTTATAAGTTTTAATAGCCTTTGAACTAGCTCTCAGTAACACAGGGTACTCTTAGATAAGTAATGTGTGTCCTTTGTCTTTATGTTAGCTGTTGTTTTTATTGTTTGTGATTTGTGTCAGTCTGATGAATCAAGGCAAATCCAGCTGATTTTTCCATTTTGTTCTTAATTTGTGCTGTTACACCACTGTCCCAGGTTAGGGGGTAGCCTAAGCACTAACAAGCACCCACCATTCATAATGAGCCTGACCCAAATCAGAAGCCTGAAAATTGAGTGTTGTTGTTGGTTGCTGTCAGTATTTGAATTGTTTCTTGTCTGACTTGTAAATGATTATACGTTATGGGTTTTGCTCATTGTTGAAGGCTGTATGGTGACCTATAGTTACTAACAATCACATCACTGGACTCTGAGGGATAGTTGTCTCATTGGCAATCATACTACAACTCCTTGTTTTTATATGCTTTCCACAGGTGGATTAAGGGGCAGGGGCCTCTTCCCCCTTCCCATCTTACAAAATCCTGGATCTGGTTACACAGGAAATTAGTTAAGCTTTGTTTGACCTCTGCAGGGCTACCTAAGTGTATGCCAAATTCTGTGTTTACTCTAATACAAACAGGGATTTCTGAAACCTAGACGGATCCGTTAAAAGAAAAAAAAAATTGAAAACAAAGCATTCAAACCAGTTTTTAATTTAAGAATAAAGAAAAATAGCAATGTCAGCAGTATTTATTTTCCTCGGAAGTAATTATATAATTTTTCATTATCTGTAATGATAAACAATTTAAAACCAAACCTGAAAATTAGTTCCACTCGTAAAGAGCTTTAATGAAGAGTTTCAAAAATGTCAAACTGAAAATGAAGTTGTTACAATATTATTAATCATATTTCAACAAATTGTTCAAAAATTGAATTTTCTAAATGCATAAATTGTGTTTAAGTTTTCAAACTTCATATATACATCTCCATTAGAAGAAAAATTCTACTTTGACGAAATGAACCAGTTTGCTTCATGATTAATAGTTTAATACATCATATACATACTGTAAAATAAAATTAGATGATGTGGTATGATTGCCAATGAGACAACTCTCTACCAGAGACCAAATTATGTGGAAGTAATAGCAACTATAGGTAGTAAACTGTCATTTTATGGAAAGAATTTTAAAATATCAAATACATTGTCTGGGGAAAATAACAAAAAAAAACATATTTGTAATTCAAAAATAGGGCGGACCTTTGTAAATGACCTAGACACCATAGTACATTAGTTTAATTTGAATCATTAGTTTTATTAATCCCTGAATATATTTGTATATCCGTAAATGACATTATATAGTCTGAAGAAATTTTTTATGAAAACAAACAATCAATCATAACGATATTTTAGGACAGATTACGGGATAAACTATATAAATATATATATATATGTTGTCTATGAAAAGTTAAAAATATACAGATTCGTAATCTAAAGATGAGAGAATCATTTGAAAATGTCACCAAGTTACCTTAGGTGCATTTGTTCAACTGTAATTTGTGGTTTTATCAATATATATATTCGTATGTGCAAATTTGTACATCTGAAGAAAAATTTCAATGAAAGACACAATCAATCATAAAATTAAATGTTATTTTGGGACAGATTACCCGATAAACTATGTTGTCTGTGCAAAGTTAAGAATATAGATTTGTAAATTAAAAAACAGACAATGATTTGAAAAGGACACCCAGGGATCTAGGTACATTAATTCCACTGTAATTCGTGGTTTATTAATATATATTCGTATGTGCAATTTTGTTCATCTGAAGAAAAACTTAATGAAAGAAACAATCAATCATAGATGCCTATAAAATCATTCCAGTACAGATAAGGAATACATCATCTGTTCACAAAATGTAAATAATTTAAAATTGCTCAATAGGGAAAAGTTTAAAATGATCAAAAATGATTAAGGGTTTGTAATTTAAAAATAAGGCAATCCTTTTAAAATGTTGAAAATGAAATGGTGCCAAGGTGCGTTCGTGTTATTGTAATTTCTGATTTTATTCATCCCTCAGCTTAGATAAGTACATTTTGTATAAAGGTAAATGAAGTTAAAGTTTTTGGAAAAATTTATTAAGAAAAATATCAATCATACGATGCCTGTGCAAAATTAGCAATCTATCTTCGGTTCAAAAAAAGAAAATAATTTGCTCCACAGGGAAATTTGAAAGATATAAATTTTAATAAGGTTTTGTAATTTAAAAATAAGGCTATTCTTGGAAAATGACATTTGGAGCAAATGGCCATAAGTTACATGGATTGAAGATAAAATTTTGGCATGGTAGCCCACAGCTTAAATTTTGGTAGCCAAAATATATAGTTCTGTACAAGAAAAACAGAAATTTTAGTAGCCCACACCAAATTTTAGGGACCATTGGCGAATGTAATTTTTGGTTTTACTGATCCTAGAGGATTTTTAATGTAGTTACATATGTACAAATGAACATCATTTGATGAAAAATAATTTATCATAAATACCATAGATCCATTTTTTTTTTTGTATCAATTTTTGTGATTTGAGAATAATTTGCTAAATATTAAATATTTATTCATTTGTTCCTGTCAATGTAACTTAATTTGGAATGCATCAAGTGTTTTTTTTTAAATTCATAGTTTCCTCTACCCAGGCAATCCACAAAATTTTAGGTATTCCATCAATATCAACTGATCCATTGTATTTGAATAATTATTTCAGTACAGCATACCGATAAATCTAATATGAACAAGAGGCTGTCAAAATGACAGGAAACCAGGTTTATGTTACATTTATTAATGTCATTTTTAGAGCAAAAAATTAAATAATTGGTCTCTCGTCTTTCTGAGAGGAAATACAGGATAAGAGATAGACTGGTAAAAAGGGGGGTTGAAAAGAGAGATAAGTCAAAGGAGAAAAAGAGCCAATGACAGAAAAAAGAGAAAGGAAAATAAAGACAGCAAAGAAGACTGGACAAAACAGAGCATATAGAAAGATGAGATGGAAAGGAAGGATGCAAAGAAGAAATCACTCATTTGTCCATCCATCAAAAGAAAAGTGCATACTGTCCTTACAGTATTATTACAGTTAGATATCTCTTTTTCAAGATGCATCATAATGTAAGATACTTTTATCATGTTAAAATTATGCAATGTATCTCATGTTTAAATTGCAACATTCAGTAATTCATTGCACATTTGGAATCAAAGCATGAAACAAGGTAAAAGGTGTGTTTGAATACTTATTTTACCATTAGCCATACAAAATTACATGCTTATCTTTTTTCAAATACAATATGTTTTCTCAAAATCAAAGTGCTCCAGCAGTATAATATTGTGTTCTGCTTTATAAAAAGGGTATTTTCCTCTTAAATATTTTTAAAGATGCATTCCTTTCTTTTTATGCCATTATGCTTTTTTATAGATGCATCTTTTTCGAGTTCTTTCATACATTCTTTCAAACATGTAAACATATATATACAAAAGAATAAGATGCAACTTTGAAGTGGTTGTAAATTAAAAGACTATTATCAACTAGTTACTTCTAATTACAAAATTAATTAATTGGCAACAGAATATTTTGTACTTTTAACTTCTTTATTTTAGGCCAAGTAAATCTAATTAGTAGATTTTCATCCAAATTTTTGAAAAAAATGGGGTGGGTGGGAGGATTTTATTTTTTATTTTTTATTAAATATGAAACGCTCTTGTGACGTGTTCTTCATATATGCAAGTGTAATAATAAGGTTCTATCATGTATATACATGTATAACGAATCAAACATAAAAAGAAATGCAAAAACCAAAATTTGAAACAGGAAGTTATTAATGAAACGAAATTATCGACAGTTACCGGTAACGAAAATGAACAAAATCCGGAAATCGTAAATTTTTCAAAATAAAAAAAAATGGGGCAGAACGATTTCAGAGGGGCGGGCGGGGATGAAAATCTATCAATTAATTTTAATTGGCCTTATGTGTTTTAAATCGACATGCAAATGAGCTCTTATATGTAATTACCTTTTTACAAACTGCCTGACAGCTGGAATTTACTGCAGTTTGATAACTATCGCATCCTGAGTTACACTGAAAGAAAAGGAAAATATACAATTAGAACTATAAAATAACAATTGAAATATGGAAAGTATATCACTAGAAAAGGAAAAATATAAAATTAAAATTATAAAGTAAAAGAACAGAGTTCCAATGTCCCCGTGTTGCACATATTTTATCTATCCAGGGGTAATAACTAAAAAACATTTTGTTGTGCGCGGAGGACAAAAAAGTTTTTTTATTGTATACTAAATATTTCAAACAGACCTTCAAGGGCATTACTTATAGTATACTATAAGTTTTATAAAAAATTGTACCCTTGAGAGCTCTTAAACAAGGCCATTTTCCATAAATTTAATATTTCCAAGGGTCATAACTCTTTTAAAAAAAGTCGATCGTCCACTATTATAGTACTTGTCTGAGATATTGCTGATAATAACCTATAGTATAAGTTTTATAAAAATCTGGCAAGAATTGTACCTGCGAGAGCGCTAACGAGGCCATTTTCCATAAATTTAATATTTCTAAGGGGCATAACTCTTTTATAAACAGTTGATCAGCCACCATTAGAAAACTTGTCCTAGATATTGCTGATATTAACCTATAGTATAAGTTTTATAATAATCTGGCAAGAATTGTACCTGTGAGAGCGCTAACGAGACCGGACGGACACATGGACGGACGGCAGGACGGACACCTGGTATTTCCTTGTCCCTCCCAACACGTTACGCAGGGGAAAAAAAACCTCAAAATGAGGTTTAAATTGTAACAATCAGTAATTCATAGCACATTTAGAATCAAAGCATGAAACAGGGTAAAAAGTGTGTTTGAATACATTATTTTACCATTAGCCATACAAACTTACATGCTTATCTTTTTTCAAATACAATATTTTTTTTCTCAAAATCAAAGTGCTCCAGCACTAGAATATTGTGTTCTGCTTTATAAAAAGGAAAGTATATCATGATAACCGAACTATAAAATTACATTAGAGATTGGAAATGTAACACTAGAAAAGGAAAATATACAATTAGAACTTATTTTTAGTTATAAATTAATTTTTTTGTCATTTAAGGAATTTGCTGTTGATATCACTAGAAAAGGAAAATATACAATTAAAACTATAAAATAAACCTCAAAATGGAAAGTATATCATGATATCGAACTATGAAATTACACTAGAGATTAGAAATGTAACACTAGAAAAAGAAAATATACAATTAGAACTTGTTTTTAGTTATAAATTAATGATTTGTCATTTAAAAAAAATTGGTGTTGATGGCTCTTTGATACACTCAGGATGATTTAGTGCTGGACTTGATGTCAAGATTCTTGTCTATAGTTCAGGACAACATATTTGACTGTTTTGTTTAGATTATGGCTTTGACTGTTCTGTTTAGGCTAATCTGATTTTGATGCTCACAAGCATATCATGTATTTGGTTCCAAAACTTTTATCATTGAGCATACCTGTTTAATATTATTTAAGAAACATATATTATGCTCACTGAAATCAATGTCTTACATTTATATAAGATCAAGAATGGCAAGATCAAGCCTCTTAGATAATCTTAAATAGTATATTTTTTTCACAAATTTATCCCTTACTTAATCAATGAATAAATGCATTGTTGCATTAGTATAATCACATGTAAATCTAGTAATCATGGTAATCGGTGCAATGAAAATGACAAGATTAATCAATAATCACTAATAACCAAACATGTTTAAATTTATCTCCAACAAGATGAAGTTCTGTTTGATTACAATTAGTTAATATCATAAATACATCAAAGCACCAACATAAACAATTACACAATCTCTCTTACTGCGTTTTCTATGTCTTTGATGTTGAAAACAAGAGATAAAGATCTGGGATATGTTTGTTAATCTGGTAATACTTGTTTCTTTGTTTCTGTAAATAGATCTAATGATAAGCACTCGTTAGCATCAGCACTATTTACAGAAACTGAAAGGGGTATAGAAGACTTGATGATATATAAAGTGTGATTAGTACCTATGATTCTTCATTGGACTGAAAGGTTAATTGATTGTTTGTTGGCATTTAGGGAGCTACCATTTGATTTTTATGGGTGGACTAGGATGAAATTTGAAAAGGCAGGATGACAAAAAAGTCAGGATAAACTAGTAAAAAACAGGCAGGACCGAATAGTGAAAAATAAAAAGGCAGGACAGAGATTACAACTAAAAAAAATGCAGGACAAAATTTTTCATCCTAGCCCCCCATAAAAATCAAATGGTAGCTTCCTTAAGGATGTTCGGTACTCTATTTCAAAATAACAAGCTTTTTAAAAGACAGTTATATATTGATAGTATATAAATATCAAAAGAATATAATAAAGCAGAAAAAAATGAAGGGTCTGTGTGCTTGTTTTCGAGATATAAGCTATTGAAAATTTGGCGGGAAATCATTCTCTCTATATTTTTCATACATTTAACATTGGCACCTTTTTTCTTTCAAAAACTATGAAAAAATAACAAGGGATTTTATAAGATTTTCAAAGATGGCATTTTATACTATATGTAAACAAATTATGAAAAGAAAAGTAGGGTTTAACAGGCAAAATTTTTAATGGCACTACTTGGATAAAACCAGAGGATTCCGAATATCTGCTTTGCCAAGCCCAGTTGGATACGACTGCAGAGGTCCAACCCTGAACAGTTGGGGCAAAGATGGACACAATATTCGCGCTTGATACAGGTCTGAATTAGGATTGTAATTAAATATTTGACACATAATAGGTTTCTGACACAGAATAACTGTAGTCAAAGAACTTAGAATTGGTTATATGATTTGAATTTATATTCAATTTCTCGCTTTTGTGCAATACACTGTGCTGTTGCGCAATACTTTGTAAATCTGTTTTCAGACGATATACAAAGAATTAGCAATTATGACACACAATTTTTCTTTGGAAAATTGACAACTTTTTTAAATCTTGAAGAAAAATTGACCCCCCAAAATTATTTTGTTTAGGATTTCATAATGATGAAACCAAATGTCTTCGGACAACGCTGACGCCGATGACGTGATACCAATATATGACCGCAAAATTTTTTGCCGTCGTATAAAAACAAGAGGAGTGAACATCTTTAATAACACTTTCAGCACTCTTGGTTATATCATGGAAGACATTTTATTATTTGTTGGAGGAAGTTTGATTACCAATGGAAAACCACAAACCATCAGCAGAAAAACTGACAAATTTATATTTTGTGTAGATTCCTGAAGACATAAAAACAGTTCCAAGATGTTTGACATTTTGTCAAATGGTGCTTGAAATCTAGTATTGATTTCAAGTCAAGTACTATGTTTTCAGACTGTCATGGTTAAATTTCTTATTTAATTCCACCTACTTTTTGGACCTAATGTGAAACCTTGACAGTCTGAAAACATAGTATAAATGTACTTGGCTTAGAATCAATACCAGATCTTGAGAACCATTTGACAAAATGTCAAACATCATAGAACCTATTCTATGTCTTCAGGAATCTACACAAGTTATCATCAGTAATTTCTGTCAATATCTTCAATGCATTATGACAAAAAGATTATTTTTCAATTGATCAGATAATGTTCTAAAAAAATACATCCAATCATTGGATTCAAATGTCATTTTTTTATGATAAAGACTAAAACATTTGAACATTATAGACAAACAAGAGAGAAAATAACATATTGCCTAAATTATATATGGGATATATATGATATATTGATGTTTAAGTCTGCAATTCCAAAATTAAATGTAAAATTTATAATTCAACAGAAATTTTGAAGAAAAAAAAAACTGAAATCTCAATTTATTATGAAATGGTTATTATCAATAAAAAGATCAAGATTAACATGATTAATATATAGATCAAGATCATGATTAATGAAATACAGTCTGATCTCATCACTCCTTCTGATACTTATATAGATTTCTTAAATCTATTATGGAATCTAAAATTATTACTTATCTTACATGCGAATTATAGTAATATTACAGGATTGTCTTATTCGTTGAAACATGGTTCTTTATATAAACATCAGAGGGTTGAGATCACAAAACATGTTTAACCCTGCCACATTTTTGCGCCTGTCCCAAGTCAGGAGCCTCTGGCCTTTGTTAGTCTTGTATGTTTTTTAATTTTAGTTCATTTATATGTTTTGAAGTTTAGTGTGACGTCCATTTTCACTGAACTAGTACACAATTTTATTTAGGGGCCAGCTGAGGACCACCTCCGGGTGCGGATTTTCTCGCTGCGTTGAAGACCCATTGGTGGCCTTTGGCTGTTGTCTGCTCTTTGGTCGGGTTGTTGTCTCTTTGACATATTCCCCATTTCCATTCTCAATTTTATCAGGGACAATTGTTCTATTTTCTATTTATAAATGTAGACATTTTTTTAGAAAAAGATACATACTACAAAAATTTTCAAATTTAGCACTTCCATTATACTCTTCATTAGGAGAGAATTACTCATTTGGCAAAGCAAATGTCAAAATAAAACTTGAAAAGACTCGGGGGAGGGGGGAGTCTGTCTTAAAAAAGGGGCATTCTAAACCCAGGGTTCCCACTCTGAATCCACCAATGTTTACCATACTATTTCCCCTTTGATGTGATGTACCCAGGCTGTTAAAGATACATGTGTAATAATTCATTCCTCCATTAACCTTTAATATGAGTGGCTGACAACAAAGATATAGGGATGAAGTGCAAGGAACTAGACAAGAAAAATATAACATGGCCTGACAGAAGAAAAAAAAACAAGAAATGATTGTAACAGGATGCTGTTACGAAGTCTCCCAAACGAAGCTCCCATGATTCGTAATTCCCAGGGTCGCCTGACATTGGGCAACGTCCAGTGAAAATTGGTTTGGTCCAGTAAAGTTATATGCATTAGCGATGCCTGGGGAATAACCTTGTATATCATTCAAATCATCTTGGCATGACAAACCAGAATATATATGGTTTAGGGGTGGGGATCTCGACCATTTAAAAGATACTAGAACATTGGGGGTGGGGAGGAACC